GCCTGAAGTACTGATAAGCAGTACAAATATCAGGAGTGTGGATTGGGGCGGACACAATTCGTTCTGTGAGCTAGCTCGGAAAGAAACATCAATCGTCTGGTACCTATACGCCGACGCCCACCGCCATCTTTATATGATGTGGGTCTTTCCGCTACCGTCCCGACATAAAGGCCATAGCAAAGAAGGCTAGGGACGGTAGTGGGAACAACCACATGGTGTGAAGAGGGTGGTCGGAGTCGGCAGATATGTACCGGATGAGAGGCGGATACTAGGATTACACCGGAGTACTGTGAGCGAAGGATTTATTATGGGATGTTACTGGACAGATCCTCGCCGCGTGGGCGGGTCGGTTTAGTAAAGCCGCATTTAGGAGGCGAAGATCTGGGAACCATAGAAAATGAAGACCACTGGACGAAATAAGGGCGTGGAGTAAAAGAGCGGACGGCATTGCGATGAATAGGGTCCGCGACCCGTGTCTGAAGAGGTGGAGGCGAAAGTATATTCGTGTGGACACAGCGGATTGGACGGATGAAATGAGTCAGCGTCCGGACAGTCAGGACGCACACAACGAAAAGAAATAACCAATCACGTCCGGACGCAGACATTCCGCGTCCGGCGAGAACTTCTTTTTTTTTGCTGATGAACATTGTATAAAAATATGACACACCAGAAAGAGTGTACTGTAGACATGCTATGTAAGGAGAAGTTTTATATGAAGATAAATTGCTAGTAGTTCTTGTTCTTGATTCTCCTAAGCAAGATGGGTGGTAATACCTATTTATACAGGTGCGCATCCTTCACATAACTAAGTGTCATGGCCACTAGGATCAGAATAGCATGATTGCTGTGCGGGGTTTTTCTTGTGTCAGCTGGGTCAAGTATCTTCTAGTGTCGGGTAGTTGGTTCGTATAATGAAAGATAATAGAAGAGGAGGGACATTGTTAAGAATCCTACTGGACGTAGGGGTGTAACAGGCAACAATTCTTATCTTGTAGTAAGGAGATAGTTCTTTAGGCTGTTGCCTACACGAGTTGGATAGCTGAGTCCTTTGACTCCTATCCTTTTGCACTTATTTTCTTAATCCTTTAAGTACCCAGCTTAGGACTCATTTGTTCGATATGGGATAAGAGATAGTTTTCTTACTTGAGGTAAGATGTATCTTAAAGAATGTAACAGTAGGTTTTTATTGGTAAAATATAAAGATAGGAAATAAACTAGAAGAACATGTGAAGAGCTCATACTCAGGGTCCTAGTGACCCTTTATATAGTCACTCTTCACCTAGCATAACTTATACCTTACGTCATATGAACCCTGTAACTCATAACTATTAGTCATGTGAAATCCGTCAGTTGACTCCTATGAGTTGCTACACAACATACCTAAAACCAATCAAACTTAAATGACCAAGTCAGGTACATAACTTGTATCACCTGAGTGAAACATGTGACTCGTAACTTGAGTTATGTGTGAAAATCATAACATCCTGTAACTCACAATTATGAGTTATGAGCAGGTCAATATAATAACCTATGGCGCACTAGTGTATGTCATGTGAACTCGCAATATACTTATAGCTCAGAATCCTCAGCTATGTGAAATCTACCTTGCTTAGTCACAGTTTGTAACAGCGAGGCAAAAAGGAAAAGAGGACTCAGAGGTAAAGTGGAGTAGAAGGTAGAGAGATAGGGGAAGAAAAGGAGGAGATAGAGGCAAAATGAGAGAAAAAGCAGGAGGAAAGAGAAAAAGAGTAGGTAGTAGAAATAAGTGATACTAGTGGAGAGGGAATGGGAATAGGAACAGGGGGTAGATAGTATAAGAGAGGTAAATTGAAGAAACAATAGAGTAGGAATTTAAAAAAAAAAAGAATGGATGGTAGGCAGAGGGGAAATGAAAGGGGTAGGAGAGCTAATGAGGAAAGTAGAGGAGGATTATGAATGAGGAAGGAGAGATTTATTTATAGGAGTAGACAATACAAGAGTTTCAAAAATATTGAGAAAAGGGAGAAGTTTAGGTGGAGAAGAAGAAGGTAGCGTAAGGAAAGTGGGGATAAGTATATTGAGTGAAGGGTAGAGGATTAAATTAGTTTGGATACTAGTTCATGTAGAGATAGAGGAAAATGAAGAAGTAGATAAATGGGTAAAGGAAGAATCATGGGATGATGAAGATGATAAGAAGATGGAAGATGTATTGTTATAGAGTACATAGGAGCAGAGAAGAAAGAATTAGGAAAGAAGGAGTTGGAAAGAGTATTGGGTAAGGAAGAGGAAAGGAAAAGAATATTTTGGAATGGGAGTAGGAGGTGAAAGGGATTATATGATAGAAAGAGGTAGGAGAGTCAGTGGCTGGTATAGATAAGGACTCAGACAAATCACAGAGGAATGAAGAGGTTGAGATATATGGAGGAAAGGGGTTTGTGTGAGTTTGGAGAGATAGAAGATAGGAATCACATCTTGATAAGATTTTTGAGGGGAAAGGATATAAGGGAAAAGGTCTAGAGAGGTTAGTAGAAAGAGATTTGAGAAAGAGAGGATTAGATAAAAATAGATAGGATGTTATTTGAAGAAGAGGAGATGAAAAGGGTAGTAAAATTTGGGAGGAGAATAAGTTAGATGGAGAGAAACAGACAGAGTAGAAGGATTATGAGGGATGAGAGGAGACAGGGGAAATTGATTCAGATATGGAGAGAGAATTGGAAGGAATGGAGAAAAGAGAGAACAGAAGAATATAGAAGGGAGATCTTGAGGGTGGCAAGAGAGAGAATAAAGAAATTATAAGAGAAGAGGAAGAAGGAGAGAGCAACCTAATCTCTCAAATAGTACCCATTACAAGTAACATAGGAGGAATTCAAGAAAAGGAAGGGGGAATGAGTAAGACAAGAAAGGAGATAGAGGGAATGAGATAGGAATTAAATTGCTTATAGGGATGTAGAAGGAGTATGCATATACTTTAGTTTAGTTTAAAAAGTGCAAAATGGAAAAAGTTTTAAAAAAAATAAAAAATAAAAAATAAAAGTCTGTCAAACTCTGGTTTGGTTGGCTGAATTTAAAGTATCTCTATAAAAGTGTTAGTGAAATAGGCTTTTTATACCAAGAACATTGATTCTTCACTACTGATAGTTCAGGAACTATAAAAGATTTTACAACCTGACTTCTGGTATGTAGCTACAGTAATCTCACCCCACTCCTACCGAACTCTTACTAATTTTGGGGAAGAATTGGAAAAGTTATGCAGTCCTAAAGTTTTGACTTTACTGAAAAGCTTCATTTTACATACAAAAATAGCATAGCAACAGGTATTGTCCACTTTGAAGACTAGTAGTTTAACCCCATAGAATAAATTGATAAAATAAATGGGTGTCAGGTAAAAGCTGCAGTGAAGGTGAAAATGATTATATAGGTTGTAAGGATTATTTGAAGCAATTCCAGGTGTGGGGGTTGGTCAAACCTGCCAATTTTTGGTGTAAAATGGTCATTCCACCAACACTTTTGCGGAGGCACTTTACGTGTGTGCAACACGAGTTATGCAACTGAACAGGCCATGGACGCTAATTTTTGGTGAAGGAAAAAAGTCTGTCGAACTCTTGGCACAGTGGCTCACGCAAGGCTGGAGCAAATACTGTTCCCTAAGTGGTTGAGAAGGCCCCGAAGCCAATTAGAGTGAGTTCGACAGACTTACCCACAACCCCCGGTACTGTACCGGTATTGTTCGTTGAGCCCCCCCCTGTTCGTTGACCCCCCTCCTATGTTACGGCCCTCTTGCGGATCGCGCAGCAACAACAATATCGTGCTATTTTTATCCCTGTTCCCACCTGACCTCCCTCGTCCAATGCATCCATCTCCCCAGAGCCAACACTTCAAAGTGCTGAATCCCCATAAAAAAAATGCTCGACTCATGCCCCGTAAAAACTTGCCATAGAAAAAAAATAAGGCACCGCAATCAACCACAGATACCGCACTGATCGCATCTCAACCCCACCGGATCTACGTATGCAGGGGAATCCCGTCCTATCCCACGCCAACACCGAAAAATTCGTGATTCGTATCCGTATCGGTGTGCCTTTGGGGCCTTTAGGGTGGGAGGGGTAGTGGCAAGTTGGTCATGTGGGAGCGAGCCAAGTCAGGGAACTGTTGGTATGCCCCAGGGTACGCTAGTGCAATACCGTATTATTTTACGAGTGAGGAGTCGTGATGAATTGTTTGGCGGCGGTTGTATGATGGTGGGTGAGATAGGATACCTCAACGGCACGTGAGCTTATCGCTGATAAACGGGTACCGTTATCATACCGGCGAGGACGTGGGGAGGGGCAAACGATGACGGATATATAGCAAGGCGTGCGAGCGGCGCGAGAAACATTCTCCCTCTCCCTCTTCCTCTCCCCCCTTCCCAGCTTACAAAACGAAAGGGAAAAAACAAGCGGGGGGGACCGTTCTGACAATGCGGGGGTCACGCGAACAAAAAAGAAAAGTCCTTCTTTTTTGTTATAAGTCAAATCCTAGGTTATATAATATGTACAAAAATACAGTACAAAAAAGCAAGTTACTAATGACACATCCCAACGGAACGTAAACGTCCTTCTAAGTTATCCCCGATTCATCCATCCATTCCATCCCATCCCATCCCATCCCATCCCATCCCATCCCATCCCGACCGACAGACACCAACACCGTCACCGATATAACCGGAAAGAAGAAAAAAGAAAAAAAAAGTACACCGATTCCAAGGATTTCCGAGATAAACAAGGTAAATAAACAAAGTAAAGTAAGTAAATAAGTAGGTACTCGAAAAGAACGCGGGGGCGGAAATAAATAGAAAAGGTCAAAATTTGAGTACAAAGAAAATGAAGGGCCATGGACTAGGATTTACCGGGCGGAAGAAGAAGAAGAAGAGGCTATAGATACGAAACAGTGAGGGGGGAAAAAAAACAGCAGAACAACCAACCAACATAGACATGAGAGAGAGAGAGAGAGAGAGAGAAATCGAACAAACATTCACCATCGCATCAAACAACATACCTCCGACTATCCACCATCCAACTCGCCATCCCGGCCGAGAAACCAACAGCCAACTCGAGGTACTTTCTCAGGTTCTCGTCACTCCCCGTAGCGGCCACGGTGGAGCAGGCGGTTCCCGGCCTTCTGGTGGATAGCAGGGAGTCCCTGTTATCCCCCCTCCCATCCCCGGTCTTCAGGGACGAAGCTGCACTCCCACTATGATTGCTCGTTGTGCAAAAGTGATTTCCAAACACCCTTAGACCTCCCCCTCCCCCCCCACTACCCCCAGTGCTGCTACCGCTGGATGCGGGTGGCAAAGGCACGGTGAAAATCGAATTCACCAACCCGCCGCCGCCGTTAGCGTCGCTGTGAACCCGACAATTCAGGAACTGTCCGTCAGGCAGCGGCGTCAGGGGGGGTAGCCTGAATGTCTCGTTCCACACCCAGTCTCCGTAATTGGCGAGGTGCTCTACTAATTCATTGTGAATCGCTATCACCTGGGCGAGGGCTTTTGTCGGCCTTTTCCCACCCTTGATCAGGATCTGGATCGTGTTGAGTGGGGTTTTTGTCTTGTGGTCCTTTTCCCAGCCTGAAAGAGGGGAGAGGGGGAGTTGTTAGTTAGAGTGATATTTTGTGATGCAAATTAGGTGGGTAGAAGGGTAGAGTACCTATGATGTCATTTTGTAATCCCATAATCAGTTGCAGCAGGCATTCGACTTTTGCTAGGTTGTTTCTGTTGGATTCTTTCGAGGTGCGTAGGAGGTCTTGGTAATTTTCCGCTAGGGGGTTGCCTAAAGGGGAGAGCGTGGGGTCCAGGCCCAGGCTTGCGCGGGCTATTATCATGAAGGGGCGGACTATTGGTGTTAGCTCGAACCCGTTGTTATGCACACCCGGGAGAGTTGGTAGCGGTCTCACCTGAGATCGTGATTATTCTGACACGCATCCACTCTGCGAGGTCGATCTTACTACTCGCGCCGTTATTCGCAAGGAGGGGGCGTTCTGCGCGGAAACCCATGATCACTTCGCGCACGGCTTCGAGGAACATGGGGCGCCAGAAGTGGTCATCTTTCGTGTGATGACTGCTGCTGCTGCTGCTGCTGCTGTTGGTAGGGGATTCTTGGAGGGCTGTTTCGTCGATTACTGTTCTTAGGGCTGTGGAGACTTGTACTATGTCGCTGGCTGGCGGCTTGATGGTGGTGCTGGTGGCCGTGGAGGACGGGGAGGATGGGCTCCCTTGGGGGCATTCGGAGAAGATCCTCAAGAGGTCCGATTCGGCTTTTCCCCAGGCTTCACCTGTGAGGGTTTCCGTCAAGTCTGGGAGTTGTAGAAGTTAGCGAAAGTGTGGAAGACTAAAGAGGAAGGGATGGGCGGGGTGGTGGTACCATCTATGATACACAACCACATCCAGAAGCAGCTTCCTATGTAGCGGGCATTGGCAGATATTTCTCCGTAGGGTAGTAGCTTGGGGACGAGGCCAAGGGGGCTGGCTTTCTCGGAGATGTCTCTGCAGCTTTCGGGCAGCATAGAAACGAATCTCTCGAAGCTTCCCCCGTGGCCTTGCTCCTCGGCATCGCCGGCTAGGACAGATTCGAGACCCCCAGAGGTCATGGTTTCCGGAATAGAGGGGAGCATCAATTCGAACTGCCTATTTCTCAAAGCCTTTACAAGGAGTGTGAGAGACTGCCTCTTGAAGACTGTGCAACCCAAGTTCTCGGAGCGGGCAGCCCGTCTGGAGGAGATCTCCTCTTCGGGCAGATTGACAAGAGAGTAACAAATCTTCTGCAGACTCTCCTCATCACGGGTGCTGTTCTTTACTCCCAAGAAGGCTTTGAGGCCAGACTTCACCCCCGAGATGTAGTCCGAGAAGGACTTCTTCTGCCTCAGCATCGCTGTGCTGAGCGCGTGCATTGGAACACAAGATTCAACCTTCTTCGGCTTGGTATTATGAGTGAGATATTCCGTGGCGGTGAGAGTACGTTCAGAGGATCTATCCAACGATATACTCGACAAGCTGAATGAAGAGCAAGAAGGAAAATCCGAAGATATTATACTACTCCCTCCTCCCCCACTTCCATCTCGACCTCCGTCTTCCACCCCCGGAATCATAATTCTCAGGCCCGGGGCACGAGGACGACTAATTCCTGGCGCGTTGGAATGTTTCAAGCCGAACTGCAACGAGATTTCAACGCCTTTGATTCCATCATCCTCCCTACCCCTCCTACTACTCCTCCTGCTGTTGGTTCCTCGGTGCCCATCGCCTACATGGTCACTAGGTGGGTAGGTGTAAGACGAGGAAGTCGAGGAGGAGGAGGGATATTTTCGCCAGTGACCCTCCATGTTGTAGTTGTTGCCCCCGGACCCTAGCACTACACCCCCGCCGCAGGCGTCAGAGGCAGAAAATGAGCCAGCAATGGTGTGGTAGTTGCTGTGAGGGCGATGATGTTGCAATGATTGTAAGGACGCATCAGGCAGCATGATACTGACCGATGCGCCCACCACCCCGACTATTCAAGAATAACAAAACAAATAAATAAGGTTGCTGTTGGAAAGGCGTTCCTATATAGTACGGCTCAGTAAAAAAAAAAAAGTCCTTATGCGGCGGGTTCGGTGGAACATACACTTCTGCAAGAATGCCTTAGGAAATGTTTCTTGTATCAGCCCTTCTCAAACGTAGCACTTATGACGATGATTTCCAAAACGGCTTTTTGTGGTCCCGAACCGCAACCTCCCCCCCCCCTCTTGAAACGTATTTAAATCCTTTTTTTTTCTTTCCCTTTTTTTCCTTTCTTCCCCCTCCAAATCCCGCAAGACCGACCTTGAGCGGGAGAGTGAGTGGATAATATACGGCACAGGGGAAAATATGGAAAGTCGAACACTGGAAAGATCGTCGCTGCTGACCCCACCTGACCTCCGGCGGCCGTCCGAGAGGGGAAGAGAGCCTATCCCAATGAGAAGTGGGTCACCAATAGACGTCGAATCCGAGCTGGAGAGCCCGTCGTTGAGTCACAAGTTGACATGAAGTATTCGCTCCAGCGGGATGAGTTGAAGAGGCAGAATGGTAAGAGCGAAAATAGAATCAAAAGAAATCGAAGGCCACTTTTTCCTCTCGCACCGTGAAAAAATATAAATACTTTATGCAGGCGACTCTCTCTGCCTCCCTCTCTTTTCGTTTTTATAAAAATAAAAATAAAGATGAGAAATAAAATAAAATAAAAAGGGCAAGGCTGCGCTGTCCCTGATGATATACTGCGATGCAGTGTTCCGCAGCTCCGGTTTGGAAATGCACGGTACAAGTACAGCACAAGTACAGCACTGTACCGCACTGTATCTGGAGGGAAGGGGAGAAAATGAAATAAAAAAGATTCCGGATACTGTAGCGTGCCAATCTACAGGGAAGGGGTGGAAATGTGGGAAACGTGGGAGCTGGGGAGGTGGACGTGGAGAGGGGACTGTACAACTGGCGGGCATGGTTTAAGACTTCATATTGTTCAGCTTGCCATTGACGGGTCCCGGAGAATTGGCGAATGCGTGGGATTACGTGCATCCAGGGGGAGTCAATTAAACTGAACGAGTCGGAAGGAGCCTCCCCCCGAGAAAAAAAAAAGCCGTCGAACCAGAAGGGGGGGGCTTTGAGTCGAGGAGACCGCACAGAATCCCAACAAGTGCGAGAGAGCACCGGAACTGGTACCGGTATTCGCTTGTTCCCTTTCGTTTCCTGGATCTTGGGAAATCCAACGATATTAGCATTGGTTGGGAGTATCGAACAAATAAGGTACCCCCCTTCTCTAGAATTGAATCCAGTCAAGCAATCGAAAGATAAAAAAAAAAGATTTTAATAATGGCCAACAGGAAGAAACTTACAGCGACATAGGGTACGGAACTCCGGCACGTTCAGTAGCCCAGAATACAGTGGAGCCGCTCCTTTCTACAGCTGGCCTTTCCCTCCATCTTTACTCGTAGAAGCGAGGGTTAGCAGGCTTCCCAAAGAGCAAGGATATTCGTAGATCATTGCATTTGTTATGCCTTTCAAATCGAACCTTGGGCGGTGGCATGAAAGTCCCGTATTGGATTGGAACGAACGCGACTTGCCAATAACTTGGGAACCGGATTGATATTGCTGATGCCAAGACAGCCACAATTAAATCCGACGATACAACTCTGGGTACAAGGCTTCCCTCATACAGCAGCAGACTATCCGTAAAGGATAAAAAAGAAAGGAATGGAAAAACAAAAAGAGGTGACGCCTCCCTGTCTCTTGTACTCGGACTCGCAAAAGTACCTGTAGAGGGAAAAAGGAAAAAGGAAAAAGAAAACCCCCCACTCTACAGGTTCCCGGCAAGAAGAACCTGAACACAGGGATTAAAAATTTGTATGGCAAATTGTCTGTGCGTATCTGAGCGCCCATACTAAATTCAGACACAAATGTTCAGGTTCTACTTGCCGGTAACTTGTAGGTGATTGGATATAGGGCTCGTCGTTGGTGGTTTAAAATGTTACTCTTCCAGATACCCACCAATACGGTCGTACTAGGATGTGCCAAAACAGAATTTGTTAATTGTTACACGAGGACTAAGATCCCAAAAAGCAGGAAGGATATTTGCAACCCAACCGATCCCCATTTCGCTAAAATTTCTTTTTCCCATCGCCTGAGGCTTTTCATCCACTCACAACATACCCTTCACCCACCCCTTCCATCAATAAACCATCGCCAGTTGACTCCCTCCCTCCACCCACTATTCTCCAAGTTGCACTCCCTGGCTCTCCCCTCCGAACCCACCGCACGACCGCCCTCCATTTACAACAAAAACCCACGAGTTTATCACTGGGATCACAGCGTGGGAGGGTCAGGAGAAGGGGGAAAAAACCAGTGACATGAGGGCTCCAGGAAACCCCTGGGCACAGTACCGGTACCGTAGCGAACAAAAAAGGTGGGAAATCTAGCGCCCAGAAATACCGGTACCCTAAGGCAGATTCAAGCTTCCCCCGGAAGATTCGCGGTAAGTACGGTAGGATACGGTACCAGAAAACCAAGCTCGATGAACAGCCACCCGCGTAGCGAATGAGTTTTTTTTTTTGTGTGCGAAAAACTTGGGAAGAGAGGGAAAGGGCTTCCGGATCCCTTCCCCCCCCCCCTTTCTTCATTTTTTTTTTACCGATTTCCCATTTAGGAACAGTGCTCGAGTACTCGAGTATAAGGAGGCAAAAGTACTATCGCGCCCATCCGTCACCGCTTCCTAACCGGTATCCTATCCAATCAGACCCTCTCATGTCTCTCCCCCATACACACCGATTGATTGATTGATTCCCCGTACAGGTATTAATAGGCAAAAGTCTTATCATAGTAGATTTCCATAGCTTTGCTGGACGGTACTGTACGAGTACTCTGCAGCATCATAACAACCCTATGCATGTTGTCCATCTTCGGTACCATGCCGAAAGAGAACACCTGCAGCGTCTCAGTTCGTCTAAGACATTGGGAGATGAATCGGGGACCGGGATGGACTTACCGAGCAGGCGAGATATCTGCGAGTGACGTACTATGAAGGCGGCTACTCGAGTCGCCTTACCACATGGCTTGGCCGATCACGATTGAGTACCGTACCGTACAGCAACATATGACGGACGGCACCGCTGTTGCACAAAAAGGAAACACGGTAATGTAGGACGGATAAACTTGCTGAGGGATCCATGTGATAATGCTACAGCACAGTGACGAGAAGGACTTGAAGTTGGTTTATGATATGGAAATTCTACCATACATCCGTCGGCAGGATGGCCGTGGGAATTCGGCGTGCCGTTCTCACGAGAGGGTTGCCCCAATTTTGCGTCCAGGAAAAGAGCTATCATACACGACCTACTGGGGAGAAGGCCTGTCAGTTTTTCCTTCTTTTTTTTTTTCCTTCTCGCCAGCATCATTCGTGAGATTTTCTTTTTGCTGTGAAAAAAAAAAAAAAAAAAGAAAAAGGAAGGGAGTGATCGCCGTCAAGAGCTGTGTTTGGGTTGAATGTCCCCACTCGTAGGCCAAGAAATCCACACCGGAATTCCCCACCCATTAGTTGTCCTGCCGACTCCATGCGGCGACAACAGGCGAGCGCTACCACGATTTGAACCCTAAAGGATGTAATATCTACAATTACCATCGGCACAGTACTCGTTGATGTGAACCCTGGCATTGCACTGGGCAGCCTACCATTTCGTGCCGATTACGGAACACTTTGCAAGGCACTTAGTCCCCTGTTTGGATTTGACCTGGCAGTTAGGTTTAGAAGCACTCTTTGTGAGTTGAGGGGTGCACGGCAACAATAATGAGATCCCACCAGATGAAAAGGCATAATACATCATTTCCGCTGATAGGAAGCTCGCCTCTCCATCGCAAGTATCCGACGAAAACCAGCAGCTCTCTGTCCCTTTTTTTTTCTTCTTCTTTCTTTCTCCTCTCTGTCCCTTGCCTCGCCACCCCTTGAGCGTTAAGTGAGTATCCGAAAGACCGTTTGAGTTCGAACAAGCCGTCCATCAACCATCATCGTCACCATCGATATCATCACGAGGTGTGGTCCGGACAGTGGCTCTCTATTTTTTCTTTTTTCTTCTTCTTCGCGGATACTGTACTTGTACGAGTACAAGCCATCAGCCCAGCAGCAGAACCAACGCACAACAAATCACCAATGGGGGGAAGAGAAAAAAAAATTCCCGAGATAATCAGCAGTTTTGCACAGCACCAGCACACACATACTTGTACATGGGGGCTCGCTCGACACTTTACTTGTACACGGTCCCATCATCCATCTACTGAACGACTTAGCACATCACGGCTACCCACTTTCCCTCCCGTCGCTCGCTAACCCAGGATTCCCAAATCGTATCTCGACAGCTGTAACTCGGATAATTGCATTTCCGGTTCATCTCAATATGCCACCACCCAGGCCAATCAAAACAGCGCCGGGTCAGATCCCTCGACCCGAATGACCCGCAGCAAATCGCAGAGGGTTGATGTACTCGAGTACAGTATGAGAAGGGTTCACTTTTTTTTTCTTTTCTCTCTTTCCTCAATTTCCTATCTTAGTCCTCCACGGGTACCATGGCCCGGCTACCGTGCTGTGCCGCATTTCCCCGACATTGGGGGAGTCTCACACCACGCCGCCGGTTCAGCGCGGTTCAAGCAGGAGATTCGTACGGTACGAGTACCGTACCCGAGTACCGTGGTTCACTAATCGTGAACTGGAGAAATGAGCAGTGGTATCAGCACCGACTCTGGACGCGCGATTCGCGGGCTGGTTTGGTGGTGGTTCGGGGACGGTTCAGTACACGATATCTAATATGTACTACACAGTGGATCTAGATAAGCTTGTTATACTATACTACACAGTATCGAGCCTGATGGAACAAGAAAAAGTGCAGTCACTAGTGTCGAAAATTTTTCAAGCTATGATATGATGATAGAGGGCATCTCCCACTCTGGGATGCACCAAGTGACAGGCCCCACTCTTTCTCTCCACAGAATTGCATAGCATCCTATTCGTGGATCTTGTCGGACCAGCGGCGGAATTACATCACGAACCAAGGAACCCCACCGCCTACAGTGAGCTCCTTCGAATCGTAGTACGCCCAGATCTGAGCCGGTGTGGTGAGACTTCGCGGTCAATTTGGACCATAGGAAAACAGATCATATCCCAGTACTTTTTTTTTTCTTTCTTTCTCTCGGGTGGATGATGGATGTTCCTACCTGGAGTTTGGAAAGGGTTGAAATTCGAACCACTCACCCGGTACTTGGTAACTAGATGGAGATGGCAGTTTTGTAATTACATCCTTCTGTGTACAAGTACTGGGCACAGTAATCGCGCACTACAGTGAATACTAGTGCCAGCTTACTGCATATCCAGCATACAGTTCCACACAATCGGCGCAAGCCTTAGGATGGTTTACCTGCACAGTACTAGTACAGTACCAGTCAACGTGAGTCCTATTTTTCGATTCCGGGGATTCCGGGAGAGTGGATCACGGACCCACCAATATCAGGCCAACCATGGGAAAGCACGATACTCGAGTACAAGTGGGGAAAAGATTATTCGAGTGAAACCGGTGCAATTTTTAAAAAAAGTACCGATATACTCGAGTGCTATTACTGCACAATGGGGGTGCATGGGATCCAGCAGGAAACGTACCGGCATCCTCCTTTGGAGTTGTTTGCACCTGTAACTGTACGGGCACTTGTAAATTTATGATACCGGTACCGCACTCGAATAGCGCCATCACCAAGTGAGACTGTATCACTCGTTTGGGGTAAACAGGGCGAGATTCGACACCTCCTACGGAAATTATTTAGAGACATAACACCTGCCGTACCGTACCGTACTCGTTCGTCCGTTTGTAATTGGTGGGAAAGTATAAATACCCGAAAACGAGGATTCGCAAATATATATATATAGACTATATAGACATATATGGGGGGAGTATCCGAGCGCACACAATAAATTCACAATCCCCCGTTTTCGTACAAAGTATCCGAAGGAAATTTGGGAATAGGTTTCGATTGGAGTCCTAATTTGGCATGGTGGCTTGGATATGATAGATACCCACAGATAATTTGCCCTACTGTAGTGTACAAACTTTGATCCATGGGTTCGGGTATCTGTACTTGTACTTCGTGCCTGCCAGTGCTCGTACGGTGCTACAAGTAACTTGTGCCCGTGCACAACATGGGATTGATTACTGGGGAGAGTAATCCCAGGGCCGAGCCGACGGGAGAGCTGCTGTGCTTGCACTGTACGATACAACCTTAGTGTTGCACTCGAGTACCGTTAGGGGCTAAGGTTGCTTCACTAGTACTACAGTGTGGTGGTATCTTACATATTCTACACCGCAAGACGGTTCACGTTGCTGCCTTGAATACAATCTAGGATAGCCTCCTAACGCTCGAGACAGGTTGCACCTATGATGGGGAAAAATCTCTCTCCATCATATCCAGTGCCGAATTACACCCTCCGGTAAACTCTGACGAAATACCGCATGTTCTCCAGGTCGATTGGGTACTTCAATCCCTCCGGTAATCTGTGCCACCGGCTCTCGTCTTTGAAAACAATCTCCCAGTTTTCGCTCAGGGTGTGGTCCAGAAGCATCCCCATTGGGAATGCCTTTCCGTTTATTTCGACTGTGGAGTATGAGCCTGCGCTTTCCAGGACTAGTAGCAGGCAGCCAACTCGTGTCAAAGCGGATAGGGACAGTAGGAAGCGGGTTGTGTCTCCGCGGGATTGGGTGTAGAGTTCGTTTGTTGTGAAGAGGAGGGTTATTAGTGATGTGTTTGGTGGGAGAAGTGTGGGTGGGGGTGAAGGGGTTGAGAGGATGTCGTGGCGGTGGAAGGTGACGGAGTAGCTCGATGGGGATATGAAAGTTGGGGAGGGGGATGTCAAGCCTGTGTGAAGAGTGTCGATAACGGATGTCCAATCTGCGATGTCTATCGCTGTGAGATGCAATTCCCTCTTCTTCTCCCCACCCTCTCCATTCTCCCCACTCTCTTCCCCATCTTCCCCCTCATTCACCCCCAAAAACCACCTTACAGCCGCTGCCACTGCCACAACCTCTGCCCCCGCCCCCCCACCAATACACACAACCTCTTTCCTACTCCCCTCCCCATCCTTCTCTCCCTCCCACCCCTTCCGTAAATCAAAAACCCTCGCAACCTCACCACACATCCTCGTAAATACCTCTCTATAACAAAGCGCCCGACTAGGGCTCCACCGAACAGCATACCCCTCAAGATTTCTCTTATCTCCAAAAGCCGCCGTATAATCCCGATTAAACAAGTGCTGCTTGATCGTCTGGAGGAGCGGTTGCAGAGCCGGCGTGAAGAGTTCATTGAATGCACTTCTGAACACGTTCAGGATTTCTTGGGCTTCTTTGTGCCCTACGGGGGCAAAATTGTTGGTGGTGGCGGTTGATTTTGGCGCTGGTTTGCGGGGCTTTGGCTTTTGCGAGTTTGACGCGCGAGAGCCGCGGCGGCGATCTGATGGGGCGGGGTTTTTGGAGGGCATTTTGCCTTGCTTACTTCTTGCTTGTAGCGTTGGAAGTCAACGGCAATGCAAGCTGAAGCGATTGATGGTGGGGGAGTTGGTATCTGTTCTGTTCATTCACGGATGCCCTTATCATTAACGTGGAGATAGAGTTCGAGCCAAGGTTGATGTTTTTTTCCGCTAGGCATTCTCGTCGCCGGTGGAAAAACCCTAACCCCAAGGCCAGCCAAGATTGTACGTAGGTCAGTGGGTAAATACGTCAATAATTTTGAAAAAAGAGAACCCGAATTAGCTCAGCCCTGCAGAAATTAGGCCGACACACTCGCGCAACTAGAGAGTTTTTCATATTTTACTCTCCCGAGTGGGACACTCATTAATTATCACTCGCAATGATCTCAGATGATGATCCGGACAGCCCCAAAGCAGCACCCTGAAGCCGTAAACAGACTCCTGGAGCCAGGTTTGGCTCCGTGACCAGACGTTCAGTATGCCCTTGGAAGACATCTTCTCACCAAGTAGAAGAACCTCGCAAACCCCACAAAGGGCAGATTTTCACACACCAAGCCAACTTAAAATACTAGAAGCCGACATGCTACCTCAGACACCAGCAAGATCCCACAAACTCCAATACCCAGCACAAAGCTAACAATCGCATATTTTTCACCAAGTTAGACACCCCGCAAAATCCATAAAACATACTCGAGTAGGTAGGATTAGTTGGGTGACTCCAAAACAGGACAAGCGTGCCGGTTGCGAATTTTACTGTCCCAGACCGCCCAACGGATTGCATTGAATTGAATTTGGCTAGTCAACAACAAAACAAAAATTCATTAGGAGCCCCACCCTACAGGGGACGAACTACAACTTTTCACCTTCTACCAAGACCCTCCATGCTTTCCCGTCGAAGAACAATTTGGCTTCCAGTCCCTCCGGGTTACACACCAGGCTAACCGCGTGGGCGTCAAGAAAGTCCGTGCCGAGAATATTGATGTCAACAAAATTGGAGCACTCGGGTGCGCGGAATGCACTGTGTGGTCGTCCACCAATCCGGACATGTACTGGTGTGTCCTCACGAACGGCTGAGATGCCAAAGAGGTCGCTAGCCTAAATTTTTTGTAGTTAGATAGATGCTATTATTTCCATGCAAGAACCTTGAAAATTTACCTCAGCGGAGAGATAGGTCTTGGGCGAGCCCGTGTCCACAAGAAAAACAATCCAAAAAGCTTTACCAAAGCGACCCGTCACAGCAGCCGGAAACATCACGCGTAGGTTCCGACCATAAATAAAGCAGTTGCCAACCCGTACTACCGCATTCGCTTCTTGCTCACTCGCCGGCTGATGGTACGAGATGCCTGCAATATCAGCTATTTTATGTTTAAGCTGGTTGACACCTATATCGCTAATCAGGACATCAAAGTCCTTGGGATTAAAGCCACCAATATCGTGGATATCAACGAATTCCTCAACCCTCTTGGCCTCGGACGCAGGGTTGTGAGTGCAAGTCGCGGGTACATCGACCTGTGAAGCCGAGAAGAATCGAGTAATATTACCGCTGGTACAAGGACCTGGATGCTGGAGCCATGGTTTTTGGAGCTGGTAGGTGGTGCCCGCTAGCAGCCTTGTTCTGGACAGCTGGCGTGAGGGGCCAGAGGAAAGACCAACACCAAGTTTGGTTCCGAAAACTGACTTGGCCAATTGGCGATGGAGGAAATGGAACATGTTCGGGACTATGTTATTTTGAATTTAGTTAGTTTGAGAGATAATTTAACAGTAAACGAACCCACCAGATCGGTGGAGGGGTATTTGATGTTGGATGAGTGGGGTTACGAAAGAAGACTGATATCATAGGAGAAAGTGCTGTGGTGTGTGAATAGGGGTGGGAGATGGGGTCTCAAGGGAAGGAGTCGGCGAATTCTGGCGGGTGACAGCGTGGTATTGTGGATTCGTCAAAGGAGGGTAACAAAAGAACACCAGTCACAAGTGCTAGGGCTAAAGTTCCTGCATACAGAAAGCCCGAAATGAAAACAATTTAGAAAAAAAAAGTTTCCGCATACCGTTAAATCCACCATCGTCGATCTGAGACAAAACACCTTAGCTGTAGCACCGTGACCGAATATTTACCCCCATGTTCACGTATTTCTTAAGGGGTGCTTGTAGATCTCATTAACTCGTATTCGCAATCTTATTAACCTACTCGGCTAAGCCTATTGTAGCTTGGTATGGTGATTCCTGTTGCGCACAACTACAATCGCGCCAAGCCCCCGATCCCCGATGGTGGATTTGTCAAGGGGAAAAAAATTTCGTTCATATTGCTTATCTCACGATACAAAACCCCCTGCCTCCTCCCTCAAACAAACAAACAACCACAGCCACCATTTCAATTACTTGTGCACCGCACTCAAACGCAACTCCACTAGACTCCAGGTTAGTCCCTTTAAGGCTACATTTTCTCGCTAACTAGCGATTCGTGATAAAGTGTTCCAAGTCAACCATGTTTACTTTCCTCCGCATCCAAGCAGTCAAGTCTGTTTCCAGAACAACACTCGGCCTCGGTCTCCTCTCGAGTCCTGCATGTCGGATGCATAGCCCGGCCTCCAAGTACCTTCGCCCTCTCTGCTATGAATACAAATCAGTCAGACGGCTTGCTTCACAGACCATTCTACATGACGTTCGCGCTCACAAAGCCGGACAAGAGGCCAGCCAACGTAGCCAACCCGTTGACACCCGTGATCCCCACGGTCCTGGTTGCAAGGATTACGATACCTTGATCCCCGATATCGATGTCAGAAAGCTTAAAAGTAGGATAGCTGGCGTGGCAGGTATACCGTACCATTCACCTGCGACTAGGGAAGAAGCCGATGCCGTAGTCAAAATCGGTGACTGCTTTCTCTACGGCCCAAACTTGCGCATTTTCTTTCCAGCCATTCTCAGTTCCCCAGAGGGCAAGGCTCATTGGGTCTTCTTTCTTGTAAACTCAGGCACATCTCGGACTTATCTCTCAACTCAGGTAAATGTTCTCCACTGGAATTAAGGCATCTGACTGACTGAGAACAACTTAGACCAGTGACCTCTTCGGTATTACTCCCTCGGATGTTTCGGCTGCTGTCGCTATTGCTGGACATCACCACACCGTCTACCGGGCACCTCAACATTCTCACTTCGCCGAAGTCGATATTCTCGGCACACATTTCTTGAATGCCCATGGAGCCAGCCTGATAACTGATTTCGCTGCACTCCGAGCGAAGTTATTCTTCGGTGGTACGGCATGGAAGGTTATGGTAGAGGGGGCAAAGTTGTAGCAGTTAGTGCACTTTTTGGTTCGTTTTTTACAGCTGTACTTAGGGTGTGCGCAAAAGTCCGTCGAACTTCCCATTTATATGCACAGTTTGTATGTTTGTGTTTAGCTAGTGGATGCCGGATAGGTTTAGCTAGGACAAATGTATGATATTAATATGGGTATGAACCATTGCCAGAGCACACAATTGGTGTATTTCCTCGCAATTTGGTGAAAGAAAAAAGTCAGTCGAACTCTTGGCGCAGTGGCTGGAGCAAATGCTGTTCGCCGAGTGGCCGAGAAGGCCTGGAAACAATAAGAGGAGGTTCGACAGACTTACCCTAAACCCCCTGTACGAGTGTAACTCAACCATATTTATCATTACGGTATTGTGCCGAGGTGGGCAGGAGCATGGGCTACTCAATGGCCAATCTGTACGTGAAACTCATTCTAGAAGTGTTGCAGGATCTCTGCCAAATCTCTGTGCTTGCTCTTTTCTCACCTAGGCCGAATTGAAGTTAGAAGGCGCTACCGCAAAGTTCGCCTAGCCACCTTCTGATTTCAATTCAGCCGCTTGAATATATTAAACCACTCTACAGTCGGATTTTGCGATAATTGGCCTCCTCACGAACGAATCGCTAGGGAACTGGAATTCCCCCATAGAGATTTGCCAGCTATAATGAAATGGATATTGGAGGACACTCCACAACAGATTCGAAACGAATCATCAGGTTGCACCCCTTCCACCCCCATACAAACTCAACCTGATACACCGGTAATGGAATGCGCTTTACCTCTAGACTACCATAGGGGAAATCTGGCATTCTGCCGACAAGTTGTTGAGTGATATATTGCGGCTACTAGTATTAGCCTCTTGAAAGAGGCCAAGCGCAAAGTTTGAGGGTATCAAGGTGAAGGTTCAAAAATGTGCCCTCTTTGCCAGAACGACGGGAATTCTCCATGTTAGACTTCACATGCTCATGCTGAGATTTGGCAATAAATTATATTTACACAAAGCAATGCGACTTCTATACGAACCCAAATTTGAGGTCGAGCCACCCAAATTTAACCTCCTCCAGATCCTTCCGAAATCGTCGATTACTTTATGAATGGTCGGGTATTGGTGTGTGTGGGTAGCGGCAATCCGAGAGGGATATTGAGGACAATTTCTTAGACAATCATTCCAAGGATGTGGGCTGCAGTGCTTTATGCGCTGGGATAGGTGTGGTAAGCGCCTGGGGGAAGTGTGGTTGCAGCGCCTGGAGGAAGTGGTTATTTGCTCGGGAGGATCAAAAAATGGACCCTAAAGCGGCCCAAAGAGGCAACCAGGGCACCGCTTTCGGACCCGCGTCGTAAGAGATCACTCGGGAGGTTATAGGGTATGAACGGTATGTTTACGGTAAGTTACCATTCGATACGATACGATACAGTAGGGGTTTTCAAAGTTGAATAGGTGAATAGCAGTATGATATGTGATATTCTGACGTACATTAGTGTGCATTAGTGTACATATGAGTAGTAGCCAATTATAATGACCTGATTCAGGTACTATATTTGAGATCCCCAAAATTGACTATGCTAGTATAACATTAAATTAGTGTACAAATTATAACAATGATTACAAAGTGACATCATTATGAAAAGGAATAAAGTAGAGTGTGATTCACGAGCAGAATCATCATAGTACAGAAACAAAACCAACAACATGGCGAATCCTCGTACCGAGCACGCAATTTGGACTAAAGCTGAAAGCGAACAGCTTATTCAATGGCTTGAAGATCCACGAAATCTACGGAAGACAAAAAAAGGATCCGGCATCTCTAAAAAAATGATTCTGGCTGAGATTGCATCGCTGATTCCATCGAAGTCTGCCATTAAAGTTGGTTATAAGTACGATAATCTACTGAAATCGTACCGAGCAGCAGCAAAGCTTAATAACCAAACAGGATGGGGACTTACAGAAGAAGATATGGATCAGGGAAAGAGAAGTTTAAAAGGTATTTATTTTATATTTTATTAATTCTATATACATTTAAAAACATTAAACAAAAAAAAAAAAAACTCATAAAAGAAAATACTAATTTTAACAAAATAGAGAAGCTGTTATCACGTTGTCCGTACTTCTTTCGACTAGAACGTATTCTAGGAGATAGGCCAAACGTTCGCCCGCCAGCATTCTATGACTCTGGAGCGGATATAATAGGAAGTTCAACTAACGTTGAAAACCTATTGGGTCTAATATTTCTATCGAAAGAAAAAAACAAAGAGGAAGGAAAGGGGGAAAAGTTCAGAGAAAATGATGGAGGGGATAAGAGATGGAATATTTGTACAAGTGAAGATATCGGGGAAGAAAGAGAGGAGGAGCTTGGGCTTTGGAGGTATGGGGAAGTTGAAGAGAGAAGCATTAGCAGAGAGACTGGTATTGAAAAGGAGTATGGGAAAGTGGGAGAATTGTGTGGTGATGATAATGGTATGGGCAATTTAAATGTTAGTAGTCAGATAATAAGTGTTGGATCTAGGGAGGACGCAGAGGACTTACAGAAAAGAGGAGAAAGTATAGTTGTAGGAGGAGATGATCAAAGGGAGAAAAATACGGAAATAGAAGAAGTTAGCGAAGCAGAAAGAGAAAGAAGTCAGAGTAGGATTGGGGTGAGAATACCTATTGATGAAGAAGTTAGCGATATTGAAATAGTTGGAGGTGGAGGGAGTAATATATCACAAGAGAAGGATATGGAACAAGGATATCAACAAAGAGAAGAGAGAAAGTTAGGACAAATAGAAAGAGGACAGAAAAACAGGTATGAAGAAAACTAAAAAAAAATAAAAATAAAATAAAGCAAACAAGTGTTAATACTAACATGAAGAAGTAGGTCAGCAATACCGGTGAAAAATTGATTCGAATCATCCTCTGCTATTCGAAGCAGTACCGGAAAAAGTCGGTTTCCAGAAATATTGGAAGCGGATGAGGAGGATATTGGTCTGGAGACCTCGAAGATTGCCCGTAAACGAAAGAACACCTCGACCGCCCTAGTTGACGCTGTTAGTGTTTTGGCAACAGCAAAATCAGAAGGGGAGGAAAAGAAATATGAGTTTTTGAACCGACACCTCCAACAGCAAGAGATACTATGGATTCGTGAATTGGATATTGAATGAGAGCGAGTCGAGATGGAGCGTGAGAGAGAACTGAGACTGAGCGGAGGCGGACCGACTTGATGATGTTGCAGTTGCAGGCATCGCTTCAGCATGGGAATAGAAGAGAGAATGATAGGAGAGGAGAGAGAAAAGCTGGCGAGGAGATATAAAGTAATTGTATTCATTTTGGAGATATGAATAAGAGTTAATTTTTGTTTAATGTATTAAGTTTTTTTTTCATGTATTTTTTTTATTTTTGTTCTTGGAAAGTTTTTTTCTTCATGTATTTCTTTTTATTTTTGTTCTTGGAAGTTTTTTTTTTTTTTTTTTTTAGTTTATTGAAATTAATTTAAAAAAATACATTAATTAAAAAAAAATTCACGCATTCAATTCCTCCATTCCATTCCAGCATGATGTTCAGCTTCAATACCCATAATATCATCATAATCAAACTCAATATCAACCTCTAATCCTCCTTGATTTTGATCCGTAAGCTCTACCCTTTCAAGTCCAAGCAGCCACTCCTCATCACTTTCAAAATCATGTAAATAATTGTGTAATACAATACAAGCCATAATCCAACAAAGTATACGTCGGTGGTCATCTTCTCTCCTTAAATAGGCTGAAATACCTCGCAGTGATCCCCACCGGTTTTTTAGTATGCCAAATGCATGTTCAATCGTGATGCGTGCCTCAGCTAATCGTCGATTAAACTCTCTATATCCACCAGCTGCCTGACTTGCAAACGGTTCCTTGTACGGTGTCATACAACATCTGGTTACTCGATAGGCCTTATCCGCAAGAATATACTCATCAGGTCGTGAAAAAAAAAGATTTGGTTGTTTGAAAAAGGATGTTGTAGCGAAAGCCGTTGCGTCTCCAACCGATGCTGGATATCCTCCGGAGACAAAGGTGAATCTTCTTTCACTATCACAAATAGCCCGCATATTGATTGCATATTGCTTCTTGCGATTGAAATAGGTTTCACCATGATATGATGGACTGTGCTGCAGCACAATATCTGTACCATCCAAATATCCCACACATCCAGGAAAACTGCTTTCCTCTTCTACTCGCTTTCTCATTTTCCGAAAGTCATTCACTTGAGCTAACGGTTTAGGCCAAGTTACGAAGCATGGTAGGAGTCGAATTAAAGCTGTAATACACCGATTACAGTATAGCTGGGTTGTCCCTTCTCCGATACCTAATTGTGCAGCTCCACGAATTACTGATGCTCCTGCAGATCCTAAAAAGTACAGTATTGTAGCTAACTGTATCTCTATAGGTGCTTGGGTATTTGGAGAACGGTTTGTGAAGATAGGATCGTCTCGAAGGATTGTTACTAGGCCATAAAACGATTCTCGATTCATGCGGAAAAAAACTCGAAATCTCTCCTCCAACATCGTATATATCTATAGCAGGTCAGTTATTTTATTATTCTTTTTTTAATTCACTTATATTTTTAATTTTTAATTTTTAATTTGTATTTTAATAATTGAAGAAATTAACATACATGATTCGTGAACAGATACTGACTTCGGGGAATGGATGCCCTTGCTGCCAAGTACCGTATATTGGATACAATAATCCACAATTTTCCAATCTCCTCTCCAATCTCCTCCTCCTCTTCACTCTGCAGTATACTAACTGTTAAATCATTTTTCAGATCTAACAAATCTATCAATCCACCACCAGGTTCCTCGAAGTAAGAGACTTGATCATGTGGTTGAGCATGGATGGTTCGATCGAATCGCTTGGATCGCAGAGATAATAAGATCTGTTGAAGTATTTCCAGATCATTATTTTCGAATAGGATCTCCATTAACTTGTATAATAACCAAGTATCCTGGAGTTGTTGAGTGAGAAGAACTTTTGTTGAGGTACGAGGCATGTTGTTAGGTTTTTTTTATGAATGGATAATTTGCTCATACTTTCTACAGATGACATCTCCCACCCCGGGTAAGATACTTAAACCTGTTACCGACCTTCTGACGTCGGTCTCTACTTGGTGGTATCATATCTGAAAGGTATGGTAACTTTAAGGCAAACTAACTTTATTTGTTCATGCCAAGCTTACATTACATGTTCTTATAGACTACGGAATCTGAACTTTTTTAACTTTGAAAACCCCTAGTACGGTATCATAAATTACCGCAAACATACCAAGTGCCATTAACCGATCGTCATGAAAAAGCTCAGAGCTTAAGCCTGATTTCATTGCCAAGAATGCCTACGGTACATTAAACTCATAGGATGGAGAATCAGATTACCTGATATCAGGTTTTCAAACGTCACAAATGCCGTCTCCCGGTATTCTACCTTCCTGGTGTAATTTACCGTAATTTGCCGTATGGCATCGATCGGTAAGGTACAGTAATGTACCGTATTTTTCGAACACTGGGCGGTCAAACGGGGTAAACGTCGTTTGAGCATACCCATGGTATCCCCTAGTTTCTGGGCGCGGGAGGATGGCGTTGCATCCGGACCTGTGATGCCCCCCAGAGCTGGATGGGCCTCCCAAGATTTTACCAGCACCTTTCCATGTTGACTATTGATTACCAAGGGGAATCCCGGCGTCGCGGACTGCCTGCCGCTGACTTAGTGGGATAGAATTCTTTTTCAATTCCTGAGGAGTAAGCCCACTACTAAGGCGGCTAAAGAGAGAGAACATAAATCCCGAACAATGTCCCGGTATGATCTCAACCCAGTCAACGTACGCTTCCCACAACTCGACGAGAGTGGTTGCCAGTATCCAACAGCACTTAAATTGGATACTGTGAGAACTAGAACAATTGAGAAACACTCCTCCCCCGCCCCCCTTGGATTTATTGAGAGTGTATGGGCAACGGCATATGATGTGATGTGCATCAGCCTAAGTGAAGGTGCTGAGTGTTGATGTGGGATGATCCTTGGTGTGGTGTGCACCATTAGAGATGAGGGATTGGATGCCTGAAGGGCTTGAGGTTGGAGTGAGCAGTCACATATTGTTCGGTGTCTTGCATGTAGCTTGGAGATTGGCACCTGAGAACAGTAACGAAGTTCGTTTCTCCTCCACCACTATCGCCTGATTGTTCGTCCATCGCTCCCACCTCACAACAGGATCAATGGTGGGGGAAACAACGGGTAGCCCCTTTCAGTCCTCGGTTGAGACAACAGACCTTATCAGCAGAGGCAGGACCAAAATGGTAGCGGGATTTCCAATTATTCCAACTCCCACTGTATGTTCATTCAGGATAATGTCACCAGTATTCTTCCAACCCCCGTTATGGGCCACAACAGGACCGCCCAATTGTTGGTTGGATGGAAGTATCATACCGATCTTCATCTGATATATGCGGTGTAGAGTCACAGACGAGTGAGTCGGCAGTATCATATTGAGCAGTACTAGTGGATTTCCATCAATAGTGTGGAGGTCTCTGAACAAAATACATGATCAATTACCACTCTTCCAAGATGCGACCGGAGGTTCTCTGTGAACGTCAGGGCTTCTCGCTCGCTTCAAGCTCCTAAGGGCAAACCCATTGAGGCTCCAAGAAAGCCCGTAACATGGGCCATGCTCAAGATACTAAGGCAACTATGGTCTTGAGATTTTATTGCTTCCCGGCTGTAAGTGGCTCGTAATCCTTTGCCCTGGTAGCCACTACCACCCCAACAAACCCTTTCTCAGCTTGATATGATATAATAAACATTTGTGAGATAGCCGTAGCCCCGACGTGACCGGTACCGGCTCCCTGATTCCAGAATAAACTAGCAACTTTCAATTCTATAAAGGCCCCAAATACAACGAGCGATCTATGGAATTAGATGACGTTAACCCCCTCATCAAAGGCCCACTTCATCAATAATCACTCTCTGTTGTCGCTACGAAACCGCGAAAACTGTTGAATGGTCGACAGATGTCAAGTTTTTGAAGGGGTAGACATTCCAGAGAATGCGAAGAAGGGGAGGGTGGAAGGGTATTTCTCTCAAGGGGAAGCTGGCGCAACCGGTATTATAGACTTGTGGTGGCGGTAGTGTGGAACTGCAGCCCAAAGATGCCCCATTGATAAGGAATTCCGGCGAGCATTCGCGAGCACATCACTAACAGCGGAAGAAAGTAGAAGCAGAGATAAGACAGGATCTATGATAATTCAACGGGTAGATTATCGAATTTGGGGGACATACGATGCTCTAGAAACCCTGGGTATTTGGAACCTTTACTGTCTTTGACTTGGTATGTTGTGTAGTATTATCGCACCAAGGATTATCATAATCAGTGATCAGATATTCACAAAAACTCACTCGCAGAACGCTTCTTGGAGTCCCATACGGCCCTATCCCTACTTCACCAAGGGATTAAAGTACTTTGTAAACAACAAAGCATTGTACTAATAATCCATTGCTTGTTTAATAACATCATATCCTCATTCCACCACTAAGGATTCATGCCCTCCGTTACTGTCCTCATAATTGAACCTGGCTCTTTCTGCAGGCCTGGTGGAACCCAGGTGCCTACAACACACCTTTCCTCCTCCAGCATCTGTTCCGCTGGGGATAGATACCCCCCAAGCTTAATTCCCACAACTTTACCAACCCTCCCTGTGAATTCTCTTGCTGTTCGGCTCCGCCAAGACACCGATTCCTCTTACCAAGTATACAAAAAAATAAATAAATTAGCATCATAGGTAAAAATGGCTCTTTTCACAACCACATCTCAATACCTCAAAGATGGGATTCCCCAGATCAAGCAGGAGGTGGGAGATATATACTACTTGTCCAGACACTGTAGTAGGAGGGGGGGTTGGCAAAATCAGCTTATCCTAAAGGCAAGACTTCACACAATATTGCTAAGAAAAAAAAAATGCAAAGGGGGAAGTTTTAAGGAGGCTAGAAAAAATAACTATTCTTTGGAGTTGCAATTAAGAATGTAAAGGATGAGGTGCTAATTTACGCAAGATAGGTCACTAATAGTTGTGCCGGGTTTATGGCATGCTGGACTCGGAAGGTAGAATGGAAAATGGCAATTAGTTACACTCCGGCCGGTGAGGGAAGACTTAAGGTCCATGGTGAACTGTTGGACGGGGGACGGGGGAGGGGGGAGGTGTGTAACCTCCAGAGAGAACATATGTGTTAGCAATAGCTCACTGTCTGTACTCTGGTTCTCGTATTCAGAGAAATTGGAACAACAATAATATAAGTGGAGAAAGAAAATACTAAGGCCTTGTTCAGCAAGCCAGCCTTTTTTCTACTAAAAAGACTCCCCCCTTACAATACAATATGTATTTTTTTCTAAAGCGTGCTAAAATGGTGTCTGTAAGGTAAGGTAAGTGTTTCCAAACACATCAATGAGCTTTTATCAGTTACAAAAAAAGAAAACACAGCTATCCAAGAAAACACAGCTATCCAAGTTTACATACTAAACACCAAGGAGAAAATATGTAGTAGAAACCCTCCGATAGAAATTGAAATATATGCTCTATCCCACAGCACATCCCACCAAAGAAGTAAAATTAGAACTATCATAGGTAGGAGATAGGTAGGCCGCCTTGTTTCTCGCTGGGGGGGGTGGGTTTCCCGACTGAACGGGTAAATTTTCTTACCATAGTGTAATAATTACACATTTGCTGAGAAAGAAGGGGGAAAAAAAATGAAAAGGTTTTGGGTCTAGTTTGGTGTTATGTTTTGGATAATTATGCGCTCGAGTGGTTGATATTCCATGAGGATGTGGAGGATCTCTTCCCTGTCGCCGTTCCCACTGTCGCTTCTCTCACTTTACAGGTCTCAACTGGTGGGCTACATATTCCATCTCTAATTCACTGTTATGGATTCCGGGAGAGGATATTTATTGCTGCTGGTTTGTATTGTATGTTACACTATGATAATCTGAACGGGGAGGGAAAGGAAGGAAATGGGGTTTCCCTTCGGTCGTGCAGGGCGTCGGGGGGGGGGGGGGGGGGGCAACATCTTCACCGACATCAAATATCACTTGAAATGCACTTGATCGCCGGGGTATCATACCTACCCTGCTAGACCAAAGTGAAAACCTCCCTACCGGAACATGGCGGAACATATATTCACCGGCACATGAAAGCAGAACCAAACGATTCCCCCGCCTCGCCCCCACCCACCCACCCAAAAAAAAATTAAAAAATAAAGTAAATTCCAAGCCCTACATTACACTACGTTCAAAACACCGTTTTTGCAAGGCTCGTAAATTCCGATTATTATACGAACAAACAACCAATCAACCAATCAACCCCCCTCCTCCAAAACACCAAACAAAAAAACCATACAAAATTTGATTTTGATTGACGTGTCGGACGGGCCTTAGGTTAACCTGTGCCCTGGAATGTATTCGTCCGATCTCTCTCTCTCTACGACTAAGTAAGTCGGTTGATCTGGAACATCACGGTCAACGGTTCATCCACCCGCCTTACTCGCCTTCTCAGTTGCCCTCCCCCTCACTGTCCTCCTGCCCTGCATATCTCGAGCCCTGCGCTTACGCACGCTTTCACAGCCCAGCCCATCCTCTACTGCTACTGCGAGTAAACTGAGTAGGAGTGCGCTGGTGACACAAATCCAGATCATGTTCTACATTCCCCTTCTGACAAGTTAGGGGCAGTGCAAGGCTGAGAGGATCATACTGTATATAATACTTAAAAAAAAAAAAAATTGCGGGGACAGCCAGTCCAACCCAGCGGCTGCGGAAGGCATTCTTTGGGTATTCGTAATGGGATACGGGGACCGGTACAAGAGGTTGTGAGTGGTAGTCATTGGGGATCACTCGGTTGACTTAAAGGCAATCTATCTTGTGATATCGTTGTAAGTGGTATACATTGAGACTGAACCTCTAGTGTATTCGTTCATATCCGGAAAAAACCCCCGAGAAAGGAAACAAAGAAGGAAAGCTAGTGCAGCGTCCAGGAGCACGTTGTATATACATTGAATACTCCGGAAAGAGAAGGAAAGAAAAAAAATACATCATCCATGTTATGGATCCATCTAGTGCCCACTGTATCCATCGATCCACCTATCCGTTACCACTTGTTTACCCACCCAGAACCCAAGATTCCAAACACAGGAACAATAACGTGCCAATAAAGCTAAGACACGAATGCTAGAAAGAAGAAAAACAATCCTCGACGCCCATCTCTATTGACCCATTAAGAAACAGAGTGAATTAAAGGAGATCCCACAGCCAAACCACACGGATTATTCTACAAAGCCTAGGTAAAGTTCAGGAGGCTCATCTGGCGCCTAAGCGGACTACTCTTCCCCGTCTCGTCACTGCCGGAATCGTACACACCACTATCAGTGTCGATATCCCATTCTTCGACAACGTTGGGTCCATCGCTTGACGTGCTATCCCCCTCCCAGGCTTTCTGCTGAGCAGCACGAGTGTTCCAACGGAGAGTGCGCGAGACCGAGTCGATCCATTCATTTGGAGCGCTGAGGACAGTTGGGAAGGGGTACTGCGAAGCGGCAATGGTTACATGGTCGCCTTGCTTCAGCTCGATACGTCCTTTGCCGTCGAACGCACACCAGGCGGTAGCGCGGGAAGATTTAGGGACAGATATGCGGAGGAGCATGGAGTCGTTGAGGAGCATGGGACGGAACGACAAGGTGTGTGGACAGATGGGGGTTAGTAGAATGGCGGGTATGTCTGGGTGGACGAGAGAGCCGCCGGCAGAGAGGGAGTATGCGGTTGAGCCTAGGATATGTTAGCCTTGGTTAATGAGTGACGGAGCCAATAAGACATACCGGTAGGAGTGGAGAAGATGCAACCGTCAGCCTGAACAACGGTCAAAAGATCATCGTCTCCGTACAGCTCCAAATTGGAGACGTACGGGGATGGACCACGGTCAATGACAAGCTCGTTAAGAACCTCGAATTGGTCACCCTCTGACATTTGTCCGTCACCCTCATCTCTATAGACAGTGCAAGTAAATCGCATTCTCATGTTGACTCTCATCCCCTCGGCCAAGACCTTATTCAGATGTTCTTTATAGGACTCAAACTGGAAGTTTGTCAGAAATCCCAAAGAGCCCAGCGAGAAGCTAAGAATCGGTGGAACAATGCGCTGGAATAACCAAGAGGTGAACAAGACGGTCCCATCTCCACCAAGAGTCAAGACAAGGTCAAAAGTCTCGGGATTGCTCCAGCAGAGGTCAGGTGTCCAGTATCTCAACATGTCTTTAAACCTAGGCTCCTCCCTAAGCAAGCCAGCAGCATCAAATCGCTTCGACTCTTTCAGTTTCTTGTCAACGTACACATTAACACCAAGTTTGTCCCCGTATCTAGGCGTGCGCATGATCCAGTGGGCCAACTCTCGGGTGAGATTGACAAGCTGATTATCTCGAGCCTTGGTGACAATCATGATATTTCTGACGTTCATCTTACAGTTGCGTCGTTGCAATTGACGGGCCACTTCACGGACACCTAACGCAGTCTGGACGAGCCGTGAATGCGAGGTGTACTCATCGCCCGCAATCTCTTCAAGGACGCGGTCGACGTTGATAGTGTTGTCAAAGCGCTGATGGTAGAAACAGGGCGATTGGAGTGCCGGTAGGAGCTTTGCGGTGTTGGGAACACTGCTAATGGACTCCATCGCGTCGTGATACTCGGTAAAATTTCCCTCATCGTTGGGTAGCGGTGAAGGAGAAGTCATTACGTTGTCAAGACTGGCTGTAAGCGTGGCCGGATCCAACGACAGGTGTCGAGAAGCTAACGCTTTGAGCAGAGTCTGGCGGGGAACGCTATCGATGGAGTTTCTGTGTGTGCTAAACGAGGTAGGAGACTTGAGGAAGAACGAGGGCTTCGAGGGCGACTGTGGTTGTTTATGTTGATTCGGGGAACCCGGGACGGGAAGGGCATCGGCAAGGTGGAGGGCGGGAGTTTTTAAGATTGGGTTGGGTGCAGGATTATTAGTTGAGGCTGCGGAGGACAGACGAGAGGAGGTTTGTGAATCAGAAGAAGCAAGAGTGGAGTTAGTTGTAGTGTCAGGATTTGTTGCACAAGCACCGCCGTAAGCGTTTCCCACCGCCACCGTCATCTCTTCCCCCACCTTCTTCTGGATTGCGGGTTGGTTGTGCAAATATGGTACCCTTGTGACCGGGGAAGTTGAAAACATGCTTAATGATATCGTTTATGAAATATAACCTGACACCGTTCTAACCTGCTCTTCTGCTTTAGTATGTTACTCTCCCTTCTTGGTCTTTTTTTTCTTTCCTTCTTCTCTTCCTCTATTTTTCTCCCACTCCGAGTTTTCAATTATCCCCTCGTCCTTCTGTTTTCTCGCAAGATTTTCTTGTTCCAGCAAGCTAATGCTCAAAGTGGGTCCGGGTATTCGGCAAAGCTACCTGAGCAACCTACAGTAGTAGGAGGATCTGGCGGGCCCTTGCTGTAACGTAAATGCAGATGCAGGGACTGGCAGGATTGGAATATACGGATCCAGAGTAGACCGTTGCCGCAGGGCTTCGACCAATGAATTAAGAACCAGACCGACGACCGTTGAAAATCTGACAGAACAACAAACTTCCCTGGTGCGTAGCAAAAGACTGTTGTGCCGTAGAGATATCGGGAGAGGGGAGAGGGGAAAAAAACGCCAAGATCGGGGAGCCTCTCGGACTTAGGGTCTATCGGGTCGTAAGATTACAATTAGGTTGAGAAGAGGTAGAAGAAGAAAAAACGCTTCTCCGCGGTAGTCTTCCAAAGTTCCAGAACTACATATAGACCCGTCAGATCAACCTCAATTGAACAGACGCAACTTCTCTATTTCCTCCGGAATAGAGAAATTCAAAGTGACTATCACTCACCTTATCGACAGGTCGAGATCGGAGGTACTGCACCGCGGGGGTCGGCGGAGATAGAGAGAGTATAAAAAACAAAAAAGCAATTGGACCAGAAAGGAATATATGACCAACTTATTTTCTAGATCTCCAGTGAGCCCTTCTGCTTTGACCAAGCCCACGGTTTCGGGAGGGAGGGAATCATTGTCCTCATATGCACTTCTCAGGCCACGCAGAGAGCTCGGGCGATACCACACAACAGCATTAACGAGCATCGCTGGGCTCTACTGAACAACCGCCCCTCGAAGTGCAGGAAAGGGAGGGGGGGAAAGGTCGTGAATTGAGAAAAAAGGAAAAAAAATGTGGGTGGGCGCTTACAACAGCAAAATCCAAACTATGACAACTAAAATTATCCGGGAGACAGACTAACAATGCCTCGGATTAGAATTGATCGCGGGGTACCGGTGCGCTGATCCCTCAAAAAGAAAGGGAGGCAGAGAAGAGAAATTGGTCGAAAGGCAGGGATTGAAAAAAATAGAAGAGGATTACTGTGGTGTTTGTTGTGGATAACCGAACGCTTCCAGAGCGATATTAGAGGGAGGGAGAGAGAATTGGAAGAATCAACAACTCCACCAACCAATGCAAATGCAAAGACGCGAAAGGAACAGCGAGCTAGAGGAGGGGGGAAGAAAGGCGATACCCGCTCAGAGACAAGGGAGCCACACGAGCAGGATGGTATATTATAGGAGAAATAGACCAAGAAGAGGAGGAAGAAAAAGAAAAAAAGGAAGGGAAAGGAAACTAGCCAAGGGAAATTATTGGTGAAAGGCTTCGTGAATGAGCTTCAAGCTGAAGAGGGGAAAAGAGAGGTGGAAGAAAAGGCGGGAGCAGCCACCATTTTTGAAGGCATCACGATTTTCTGAATATAGCTACACTACACTTTTTACCTTGCTATCAACCACAACTCCCTACTCGTACAGATCCACGCTTTGATCTTTTGCGATGGAATACTCCCCCCCCTTAGCCCCCCCCGCCCCCGTTATTTCATGCATGAGCATCCCGATTACTCGTGTAAAGATGCACTCCAGCAATCTCCACGGGTAGGGAAGTGCTCACAGTCGAGCCAACAGAGCATCGGAGGGCATGCTTCAGGATCTTAGCATACGGATCCTATCGAGCATGATACACAGTGGATCTTGGAAACGCGGCCTGCTGGACCTTTGCGCCTTTCTAGAGGAGGATGCCCGCTGGACACGAAAGGGATAACAACTCTCTTCCCGCCCGAGGGGAAGGAGGTTGTTGCTGTTGTAGTGGTTGATACCAATTCGGTTTCAATAATTGACAGGGGGGGGTAAAGTTTACCTAATCCAGTGTGGCCCCGAAGGAGGTTTCTATGATACCGGTACTGTGATCGAATACCGGTACCAGGAGAGCGGTAATTCCGGCCGGGTTGGGGCCTTGTTATGTACGAGTACAAGTACTCATACAGCATGGTACTGTACCGGTACTCGAGTACTCGAGTACGAGTACAAGTAGCCCAGATCGATATCTTTTACCGCTCCCAGCTGTCACCAACGGATACCGGCATTCAACCGGGCAGGACCAATACTAGAAGTTAGGAGGAATACCAGTACTGTACGATTACTGTACTCGTACTGTGCATGGAAAAGGTGTAGAAGCCCTCCGACAAGTTAACTGTCCCCTACGAAACAAGCTCGGCGCAACGTTTAATGCAACCCCCAGACAGCACCGAAAACATGGGATAAAGAAATATACTTGCACTCGAGTACTCGAGTACCGTACTGTACTCGTACTAGTACCTGCACGTTAAAAATCGTGAATATCTGAGCGCCAATATTTTGATACCCCTGTTTTGGGTCACTTTTTTCCTGGGACAAACGCTCTGCGTGCATACAGTGGCAAGTTCGGGCGACTTCTTCCCCCTGGCAGAACCTGGGATGATATTTCTCCTGCGTAAACCCAACCCCTCTCCATAGAGCACTAGTACGGTATGATACCAGATAATACCGTAATTACCAACATAGGCAACAGATGCCCTTTCTGAAAACCCTGCATCCTTACTACACTCCCAAGAGACCTCATCCAAACCCATCGCTGCCCCCTAGTCGCTCTAGAGCATGGGGAGTGGTACCGTACTCTTGCGGCTCCAACCGCCCACGTGCTAGGGGCGACACAAGCCTTCCTCTTGTACTAGTACAGTACGAGTGGAACGGAATACGACATCCTCCGTCTCAAACCTTTCCCATACCCCCCCTTTTTTGTCCTACGAGTACTGCAACTGTTTGCTTCCGAACCCCGTGGGCTCGGTTATGCCGGCCCGGGGGGAGAAACCCTCGGAGGGACTACTCTTCTTTAGGGGGAAGGGAACACACTGTCAACCTCCACCTCACTTTTTTAGCCTGTGCCTGTCAAGATTTAATGTACGAGTACCGGTACTCGTACTTGTACCTGTACTCCAGTGCTTGTGTTACCCGTAGAGCACGATGCGATACAGTAGCCGTGAGACTCCGTTGACTAATACCAGGCGCGGTAAAAAATAAAAAAAAAATAAAAAAAAAGAACGTACTCGAGTAGAGTAGCGAACTGTACTTGAGTACCGGTAATGTTCCAGTATCGTACGGTACCAGCATATACACAGACCTCGTGTTCTCGCAACCCCTTGGAGAATAAGCCAGGAGGGGCAATGAGAAAGAAAGGAAGCTCGCCAGACACTATGATACGGTACGGCAGTCAAGCAAGGCGAACGGTTATTCTTTGCTCTTTCCTCTTCTCATTTTGCTGAAAACAACCCCTCGGAAGGTGGGGAATAAGCGACTACCGGTAGGGTTTTTTTTTGTTCAATCATCGCCCCATTTCCCTAGGGCGTTCGAGTAATAATGTCGCATGCAGGAAAACCTATGGCGTGGACAAAACCCAGAATAAGCGAGTATGACTGCTCAAGCAATTGCATGCTCAATGACCCAAGTAGTGGTACTCGAGTAATACTGCATCATACTGGTGCAGCCTGTCCCAACACGGCCGAATGGGAGGGGAAGGAGAAGATAATGTCTTTTCTCTCCCCAGTTGGTGTTGGTGGTTTAAATGACAGGGCCGGGGTTAAAATCGACACCATCCCCACAGCTCGGGTCACGCGTTTCCACCACATCCTTTCATATTACATCTAACCAGTATGATACCGGTACTGTATACCACGGCCTCCCCAAGTGCACGGGGCGCTCGCAGCGGTTGGTTGAGGAATCTCAGATTGGAAATCGGCCCAATGGCGGTGATACTCGTGTATCTTCTACACATAATTACTCGTAGTACTCGTACTTGTAGCTTCAAAACAAACCACAACGGAGGACGCGGTAGGCAAGTGACTTGTGGGGGCGGGTGGGCGCGCTTCGATGCACGTTGTATTTCCTTTTTGCTGTTGCTCTCATGCTTTTTTATATACTTTACTTGGAAGCGCTGTATGAGTGATAGTGCGTGAAGGAAGGACTCCTGTTTGCATAGTCCAAGTTTCTGACCAAAAGAGTGATGTTTTGGGTCATTTTTCTACATGTAGTTATGCGACTGAGTGCTAAAGTAGCAACCGACAGTCGAGTGAAGAGGGTATGATAAGACCATACTGCTGGTGTGTGCTGTACCGATATGTTTGTTCTTGTAGGGTGGCCCCTAGACCTCCAGGATAACGACCGAGCTAGGTGCGTAGATCTTGATAGGCTTGAGATATTATCGTGAACTTGGGTAGCACAACAGACAGCGATTCCCGGCCGGACCAACCGTGTGTCGGTATAAATAAACCGGGGATGGTGCCAAAAGTAGGGGTTTAGTGAGGGGATTTAACAAGCTCTCCACTCGGTGGGGGCAGTTTATAGGAACCGTACCTGCGTGGCCAAGGCCACAATACCAACCAATTTTCCAATCATAGGTTGTAGCCTATATCCTCTGTGTGGGGTGCCGACCAGGCACAGGATCTAATTGATGCATCGGCTGCACCAAGCAGAATACCTCGATTTAGAAACTCATAGAATACGATATATGAATGAATCGACCTATCGTTCCAATTATGTTAGACTAAAATTGCGTGTTACTATATCTCGGGAGTTAATGACAATGCTCGTGTTAGCTAAGCCAATAGCCAGAGTGTTTCTTTTCTTCTAAATCTGCCGAGCAAGATGCAGTGTGTATGGGGCCTGGGTGTCGTGCCAGAGGCAGATAAAAACTACTGTAAACGGGGGAAAGAATGGGGGATGGGTGGGTGGGAACTGCTTCTAAACAGCGATGCACCGTAAAGTTGTAAAAGTAAGGCTAGGCAAGGAAAGGAAGAAAGCAATATACGGAAGGCCACTTGGCTCTGGTAATGCATCCTAATCCCTTGTGCTGTACTGTGCCTACCATCACAGGAAACGGTTTAGTGAAGCGAACGCCTGTATTGCATCTTCTCCGACCCTGTGGAAATTCTATGTCAACGGTATCCGATCTACCTTGTGAGGTTCTGATGGCACATCGCACGAACGAATTTTAAGAAACAAACCTATTGCCTTGGCGCGTCCGGAAGTATCTCACGACCCACCGACGAAGCAAGGTTGAGGACGAACAACGCGACGTTATGCTTGTCGGCAGGCTAAAAAATTCACCATGCATCACTCGGGGTCACGATCTAGCCGGGAATCCCCGAGCCCGGTAGGTAGCCGTTTTGTGAGCAGCCCAACTAATTGGTGAACGGTTTCGGGAGTTAGAGAGTGGATTAATGTTGTTAGAGGTACCGGTATTAACTTGCACTTCTGGAAAATTGAGCGCTCGATACTTGGGCGTTGTGTTAGCCCTGGGTAAGCAGGGCAACTTGTCAGTATTGTGGGTGCGTAGGGGTTTTTTTCCCCAGGTTCTAGGGTTAGATCAGTAGGTTCATTGTAGTAAGGCGGGTTGAACGACTACAGGTATCGTATTGTACGAGTACTGAAGAAGGAGCATCATATTAGTGTAGCCGGGATTTAGGGACGCATAGGAGCACAGGGGTATTACCTGCACTCTGTCGGTCGTGGGGGCATTCAGCCCCGGCTGAAAAGGGCTATTTTTCGAGCGCCAAGTTTCGAGTTGATCTGTCAGTTTTCTATGCAAAAAGGCGTCTGGAATTACACACATCAATGTCTTTCGGCTCGAAAAATCCCCACTAAGGTTGCCCAACTCCTTGCCAGAACGTCTCTACCGTATTGAGCGTACGGTAGTTGCTTACCGTAGTTTGGCGATAAGCTCATCCCTCAGGCGTTATGTGGTATCGTGGAGGGCTCCCGACCGAACCCAAAACCTTTGTTTCGAGAACCTGAGCAATTATTGTCGAGTCGGCTAACTTACTACTGGCACTCAAGCACCCCGACCTCTCGAGCAGGGACTAACAGAAAATCTATCTATCTGGCCGTGAGTTAGCATGTTCGATATATTAGTCACCCATCAGTTTCTCCAACTCAAATGCCCAACGCTATGGGAACCCCTGTACGAGTAATACCCAGGGGCGTTGAACAGACGTCCATCGTGCAGGTAAGGCCTGTTCCAGAGTCGGCAGGTTCTACAAGTAAGACCATGACAAACCACACAAAAAATAGGCGCTGCCGGAAACACGACCATTTAGACCGCAAATACTTGCCTGCCATCGGGATACCGGACACACTGTGCTCATACTTGTAACCATACTACCCCCTCACTCATACTGATGAGTACCATAGGACGGGCAAATGATACATAATCATCAATCATGCAGCACACTGGAAAGTCTAGGATACCCGCTCAGCTACCGGTATACAGTCTAGCCGTGCGTCTATTCTCCGTTAGAAAAATACCCTTTGCTCACCCGCAAGGAACTGGCCGGGAACATGGGTAAGGAAAGTACCGGTATAGGTAAAAAATATATATCCGTATCTCGCCACTACTGTACCAAACATACCCCTATTTTCGGGTACTTGCACAGCACCGTACTAGTACTTCTTGCCTGGGACAAGTTCTTACTTTAAAGGGGCATGCACTGGGCACGTCAAAAAGCTTATCCTCCAATTGTGAAACTGTTCATAGCATGTCACTCTTAACTCCCTTTCTCGCTTGGCGTCTAGCGATGAAACGAGATAGAAGCAGAAGGTGTTTGAGTGCTTGGTACTCCGGTACGGGAGTGTTGGAATACCATACGGTAGTATAGTAACTACCTTGCTGTCTGTGATTTTGGATCTAAAGCGCCGGATTTGGTTGGCTCGTTTCTCTGTTTGCAAGTTATGTAGTTTCTTTAAGGTCTTTTGTTTCCCTTTCATTCTTTTTTGATCTTTGGCTTCGCATTTCTGTGTCGGCATACTTGTACGGCCGATGAAACTAAGACGGGCGACGTACTGATGGATTTACCGTACGAAGAAGGAGAATCCAGGGGAGGACTCAAAAGATATACCCTAACCATTCGGGTGCCTGTTTTGGGAGATAGAGAACTCTGATTGTTAATTACCGTTGGTGACTGGAGAATTTTTACCCTTTCATCCACCGGAGCCAGCGGCTATGTTGGCTCATCCGGAGGCTCAGTTTGCTATTCGATGCCCCGTTGGCTGCTCATTGCCAACAGAACTAGACTGCGGGGAGAGCAAACACTCTCACACGTGTCCGGTGGGGCTAGGAGACGGTCCTCGGACTAGTATGCGTTAGATGCCTAACTGCAGACGGCGCTGATGCTCCGAACAATAGCTTCTCTAGGTGCAAATTTCTGGACACCCTGAATCCATTGCTGGGGCTGTTAGTGTTTGGCCTGGGTATGAAGGTTTAATGAAAAGGGGAAAGTACTCGAGTATAGGTGCCGGCACTACCGGAACCAGGGCCCTGATTGCTTGGTGGATGATTGGAGCATCAGCGTTTGCGATTTGCTGTACAAAGTTTGATGGCTTTCTAGATGTTTAGGTAAAGCGGTTAAAGAGGACGGTGGTTTTATGGTGACATAGTGGTGCAGACCCTGAGCGATAAATCCCCACAGCTGAGGTGAAGCTACATTGGGGGAAGCTTTGTGTGGTTGGGATGATATAGGTTCGGGAGAGAAGTGCAAGTGTGGCAGAAAAGCTTTATAATAGGAGATCGAACATGGGGATCGCTAACAAGGAGAAGGTTATCGGGATGGCTTTCGGATATCAATCTCATTTTATTTATCCTAGCCGTGTCGAACTGGCGTATAGCTAGAGGCCTAGGGTGACGTAAACAGATGGGGAATGTGAAGCTAAGCGTGTGGAGACCCATGGAGGGGGAGTATCCAAGAATCTAATACAAATATTGGCTGCAATGTAGGCACATTGGGTAAATACCCGAATTCTTGAACACGCAGGGTGCTAGGTAGGCAAGAACAATTCCCATCACCAACACTGAAGGGAGTCAAGTGAGTGCCGTAGATGTTCAGGCTGGTGGTGATGTGAAATGCCTCCCATAGGACCGGAGGATGTAACCAGTGCTCGTAACCGGCCTGACCGGACTAGGGGGACTGGAGGCAGTCTAGACAAGACTGGGTTATCCAGAGGGGAGGCTATGGACTAGGTGCCCGGGTAAGCAAAGTGGCCGGACTGGAAGGACTGACCTGACCTATAGATTGTATGGATCGCCTCAAGAAACCTGTATTTCACACAGGTGAGTATTCTGTCGAATAAAATGAGTGGTATGAGAGTTGTTGCAGGTGGGCAGTTTTGAAGCTTTCCATGCTCTTCTTACTTAGGCTGGCGTTGCTATTCAGGTAGAGTCCATAATGAAATTTGCCTCCACTAAGCGTTAAGTTACTCTGTTGGGGTGCTTGGATTTTCAAAATAACAGCGGAATTGCCTATAGGCGGACTGTGGGGAGTCTAGATTGGTACTCCTGCGCTCTGTAGGCTTAGAGTCCGATCTTACCTCATTGATCCATCAGAGCAGCTGTCTAGACAATACCTCAGACTGGGCCGGCTAGCCGTTTGCGATCACTGGATGTAACCTCGAAGCACCTCTTGCAATACACTCGGAACATATCTTCGTGCTTGCCGGTTACCGGGTGTCCGGGTATAGGTTAACACCCGGATGGCGATCACGGGTCAGGCCCGGGGAGGCCGTGGGATTTTCTAAGAGCCTTGAGAACGTCCTCTCCTCTGTGTATCTGTCCCATACTGGGGGGAAAGATTTCGCCCTTGTAGGGGGATATCCTCTTCGCCGAGTAGGTCGCTTTCTCAGTACGGTAGGATGTCCTGTCAAACAGGTGAAAAATGGCATTTCCCATTCAGTGAATAAATTAATTATATAAATTAATTCCTAAAATGGTTGTTTATGTCATAGTAGAATCCTTTATTTTGGGCGGTGCCATACTAGCTGATAGATGTCCGGTACCCTTCTCACACCCAACTTTTCGCCATATCATCGCCCGTCTTTTTACTATTGGTACAACGTCTTTCACTTGTCTTTTCGCACATACTGGCAAACCTTCTTACTTAACGGGCCTCACCTCAGCTGTGCATTTGCGCCTCACATTTCTCACACATCGCCTTTCTATCGCAAAGCCAGCAATGGACCACTGCCGGGGGTAGCAAACACCGTATGTTACACTATAAAAATCTAGGGAAGGTTGAAAGAAAAAGGTTTTGCTCCTGATTGTACATGTTTCTCTGTTTTCTTTTTTTCTCCAACCGCGGAGTCTCCAGAGATGTGTCTTTGCTGATATCCTAAATCCCTGGCAGTTCACTTGCTGGCCGGGATGGGTGGGGTTCTCCTTTCCCATCAGACATCCTACTCGGAAAGTGGCCGAGTGTAATTGTCCCCCCGCGGGATAAATTATATCTGAACTCCCTAGAAGCGAACGCTTGTCATTTACCAGAGGAGACTAAGCTTTATGCGGCTGCTCTAAACCCAACAAAAATGACCGTCCATATCATATTTCCTTTTAGAGAAACTGCTGGCAATTGCTCGACGGAGCGCATAATAGCTCGAATTTACTACTACTAAGGATAGTGGAGCTTTGGAGGCGGGGAGAGGGAGATTGCACGCGAGTGACCAATCATGAAGGCTTTAGCTGTAGCTGCATAAGTTAGTGCATGGCTACCGCGGAGGATAAATGTTAAAGCGGGGAGGGCGGGCGAACAAGCCGGAAGCATAGGAGAAAATGAGGCTAGTGGAAGAAGTTATGCTGGGTTCCGAAATAACGGGTTTCGTGTGTTAGGTATATACGGTGGCTTGTATCTTTCAATAACCGGAAGGATGAAAGTCCATCTTCTAGGTTCCTCGTTGGGGAAGACGAGCACTATATGATGGGTCTCCTCTCTTGATTGACCCTTCGACCTTCTGAGATCCTTAAATTACTCTATCATGTTACACTGGTATAGCTTTGGCTTAGCTTGCCTTATTTCTCAGAGGAAAGGATCTGATCAGTGAACTTGTAAGCCATCCAATGCTCAGGTCCGGTCTGATCTAGCCATAGTCTAATGAATCAGAGCCTGGGCATACTTAAAGAGCCTATTAATCTGGGAGGGGAGAGAATGAAAGAAGATGAGAGATAGGAAAGAATCGATTATAGTGAAAATTAAAGGAGGGTCAGAGCCCGGTCCTTTATAGTCACCAGACATGCCTAGGGAACTACCCCGCTATAATAATTAGTATCTCTTCAAAGCTAGAGCTATATCATGCCCGGGCTCTCAAATAGTGACGGCGGGGAGCACGGATAAAAGGATGTACTCTGCCTTCGGCGTCAGAAGTAAGAATCAGCGGTGTTTCCCTTCAGATAGCCGGTGGTGGATGCGGGAGATAGGTTTGTTGTGCAGCTGTGGCAAGTTTAATTAGGACAGAAAATATGTATCACTGCTTTCTGGAACACCGGGAGCGAAGCGAGTGAGAAGGAAAGAGATTACTAGGAAGTTGGTCAATTTTTCACCAGGCTCCTACCTAGGCCTCTGGCTGCTAAGGGGGGTTTTTTTTTTCAATTCCATTGACCAAGGACATCTCTCCCGAAACAATGGCGTTGGCCGCCCTCTACAGAACTCTAAAATTATGATAGCAGGGTTCAGTGGCGATACAGCGGTGGAGCTGGGCTAGAAGTGTTAAAAGGGTTTGCTGAGTTAGCCCCTACTAAGCCGAATCAATCCAACAAACCCTATCTAGCACACAGAAGGGTTCGGATAAACCAGCGAAGCCCCGGCCGGTTAGGTGTCGGTACTAGTACATACACCCCAACGGCCACACCATAACATGGTCTTTAAAACCGGTCAAGTGAAACCCGGGGGCCCCCGAGATTGGGGGAGCTGCCAATTTAGATAGCAGCTGCAATTTTTCCGTTTCTGTTGACCTTGAGTCCTTTATTCTCATTAAATGTTTGCGGAGTCTCAATACCGGTATTTAACCTATTCTACTTCTAAGCATTGGGTTTGCCAAAGTCTGGCGTATCGGTCGGACCTTGTTTGGGTTTGATAGGGCTGCGATCCTTCCTGGCAATTCTTCGGCTCCTGGGAATTTCAACAACCCTCTGGAAACTACAACATTGCAGCCCTCGAAAACAGAAACAGTCTCGAGCTTTCAGCGTATCACTCCTTCAACGTGCCTCTATCAATTCGTTTTGTTGGTGGGGTGATCAAGCCAAAATCCCTACTTGGTTGTCCCCTCTCCTGTGCCCCCTCAACTTCGCCGCCAAAGAACCCCTGGCGAGTGCTCTAGGTGTCTACCGTAAGCATACTGCTCGCGCGGGTGACTGGCTGCTTAGACGGTATTTCAGGAGAAATACCCAAGACCTTGAGGGAGCAGAAAAGGGTTATTGTGCTGAGATTGCGTCTCAGGAAGTCGTGGATCATGGTAGTATAATCCTGCTGTGGGGTAAATATAGACATGCAGATGCATGTAGATGTATAGGTGGCTGTGTGTGATGGCGTCAGTATGGAGGCATGTCTGAGTGTAAGGGAGTAAGTTGTCTGTATGGGGTTATACTCCAGTTGCAGTGTTTGTATGGGGGTCTACCCCGGCAGTAGTGTTTTATATATAATATTATACAGGTTATTAGTTATCTGTTTGTCTGAACAACGAATACCTTCTCTCCTCTCCTCCGATCAGCTACACGAGCGAACAAGACTTTCTACCACCATCAACGGAGCTGCCACCAGCCGCTTCGCCTACACAACAAACATACAGATCTTATACAATTCTTCGATAAAAGTCTTAAAACAGAGTTCCTCATTGATGGAGATTACGGTGGCCTCAGGGGGTATTGTGCGATTTGGGTCTGTGTGTGGGATCGCTCTACGGGAAAAGAGAAGCCCTGTTTCACGAAGACTGCCGAGTGCCTGTATGAGTACTCGAGTATAGTACTCGGGCATCTGCATTGATGCTCTGTGTGAATGTGTGCCACAGTGCTGGCTCAAGATTCTTTGTTTGCTGCAGGAGATTCTACGGGAATCGCCGGGCGCACTATTATTCTTGACTGGGAGGCTGCATATTCAGAGGGATATCGAGAAAAAAACTCGTGCTGGAGGGGTGATTGTCCAGATAAGTACTAGCAGGGGTGATCTCATCTGATATCTCCGCATTAGACTGGATGAAGATACACGCACATGCGATCGACAGCACCCGCAGGAAGATATTATAAAGAGGATTTCCGAACCTTTTTTGGGAATGTAATTTATGTAAGAGCGATCGCACTACCGGCAGAGGGCCCACAATGCCTTGAGCTATCCGCTGATAGATTTGTTTGCGGATTATTGCTAGGTTCGTCTAATACAAGTACCGGGGCAACCCTATGGGGACAACCATTCACCGTCGCGTCGTAGACAGGAGCTCAGCGCCATGGCGGACAGTTTGGGAATGCATACGGTGTAGCACCAAGAGGGCAAAGTCCACTATGAGGAGAGATCAACACTCGGGATGACAGCTTTGATATGAGTCTGTCATACGGAGCGGCTATTGCACGCCGACGAATTGTGCCACGCGCTGGCTGTCGAGATAGTTTCAACGAGTCACTGCCGACAATGTTCCATTGATAGTAACATTTTTAAGCTGCTACCAAGGACTTGCAACTTTGACGATCCGGCTGATCTATTCACCCTCAAACAGTATCCTAACACCCATCCCCGACTTTTCAGCAGAGCCTACTCGATAACTAGGAAACTTGCTTGACCTATATGAGCTCTCAACAGGCCAAGGACATCTCTACCGCGCCCGTCCTAACCCTCCGGGGAACACCCTTTCTGTGTTCCTTCTCAGGATATTTGGGGGTCCACGAAAAAAAAACCTTTCGTGTATGCAAAATCTCTTGCGCTAGACCTTTTTGGCCAGAATGAGGCCTATATATTTGCTAGGCTACCCACGGGACAACTGCGGTGTTACCATGGCCTTAGCGCACTTACTCTGTTCACTAGAATGAACTGTGCTCCCTCCTCCTAGACTGTTGAGCCTGTGATGGCTTTGACAGAGACGAAATGTTGTGATACCGGACAGCAGGCTTGCAAGGGTTTCGCTTCGCTTCTGTGGATGATCATTACTAGGCATGAGAATTCAGCGAGGCTATAACGCCATTGGGACACGACCAGATCGATCCCGATAAGCCAGACATATTATGGTAGAAACAGCACGCACGTAGGCTGCAGAGAAGGGCATGAAGGGGTGGTGAAGATGTTCCAAAAATGGAATATATCAGCCCCGACATGCCAGACAACTGCGGCCGAACACCACCCATATTAAGTGCCACAAAGGGACGCAAATGAGCAGTGAGGCTGCTTCTAGGATGGGAAGCTCTCAGGCCCGGTATTCCGTAACGATCCGGCCGAGCACTAATCTTGAACATTGCGGAGAGAGGACGTGAGGGATTAAGAAAACCAGTGCTAGAACAGCCAGATAACAGTTCCAACAGACCAGGCAACCACGGCCAAGCACCGCGCCCGCCCGGTGCCACGTAGGGACATGAAGGAGTGGTCAAGTTGCTACAGGGACGGCAAGATATCAACTCCAACAGGCTAGGGGAGGGTTGGGAATGCGGTGAAGCTATGGTGCTATTGGAAAAGGCGGATGTGAACCCTCAAATTCCTGAAAATGCGAGTGATCGCCACTCTAGTTTTGATTTGCGGGTGGGAGAGGGGGGGAAACAGGATTAGCAGAGTCATAACTACCAATCCCCGAACAGCGCCCCCACCTTAGTTCAAGCATTGAGGATACGTGGGCTTTCTTAGAGTCCCCCAACACCAGCACGTACATATCCACCAACAGCATTATGTGGAAGACATCCTCATTGTTGTGGCCGACTCTTCCTCCCAAGATTACTTTTCAATCTTTGGTATAAATTAATGGCGCCCTGCGAACAATACCGTCTTGCCCTTCTGGCTTGGTCGTTTAACTCTAAAATCTATGCATAGAATTTTCCCTTGTCTATGCTTAGTTGAAGGAAGAGGGAGGGAAGAGATCCTGTGCATATATCCTCTCAGAGCCTTTTTCCTAGGTGTTTTCTAGTCTTGTCAGATGGTTCTCTCTACTGATATAGTCCGGCGTAAGGAAATAAGGAAGTCCAATTATCCTACAATTTATACCGTATTTTTTCTTTGAATAAAACCTACTAATTGTATTATGCCTACCGATTAGATAACCTTTATTAATTCTAAGTTACGCATCTTATTTTACCACCTAACTTAGAATGTATCATATTGTACAAAAGAACTTCGCATCCTCGCTACCAAGAACACCAAAGTTGAGGACGGGACGCCTTTGCATATGAGCGATCATGAATGACCACGCTAACGACCATTATTTGATTTCTAGCGGGGGAAACAAATCAATGAAACTAGTGAAAAAGATAGGACTGAAGAACTAATAGGGGGAAAAAGAAATGGGGGGAGAAAAAAGGTCGATGGAAAATTTTCAATTGATTGGTGATGTTCCTTCGTTAGTAAATCACTTGTCTCTTGGGGTGGGTGGAAATATGAACAGTGAGCGGAATTGTTGGACGGATTTAATTTATATTGACTGAAACATGTAGAAAAAGGAAAACTGAATGAGGTTTACAGAATGGAATAGAGGACTGAGTGTTCAGTGCCAATGTCATATTCTGCTTAGCCGATGTCGCAATTTGGGAGGGGTGATCGTCCTCCAGCTGCCAGCCATCCTTGGGGAGGCCGTATAGGAAGAAAATTTATGAGGAGACATGGGAACCTTTTGGTGACGCTTAATGTGTCCGGGGGAAGTTGGTTATAGGTATCGGATGAAAAAAGTGGATGCTGTATGGGGAGTTGGCTGTGATTTGTCATGAATAGTCACTCGGGTGGTCCCTAAGATCTATGGTTTCTACTTTTCCCAATCGCGCAAATCGCGAAGCATTTTTCCTCCTTTTTGCGTATTTGAATATCTGTGGCAGGAGTCCACAAACAGGTCTGCATGTATTCCTACACAGCATGGGATAAGTAACCACTGTAGCAATATTAAGACCACGGTGCGCCGGCGAGTTTCTTAACGCACGCAGCGGGTTACCAATGTTCATGCAATACCCGCCCACCACATGGCTATCAACAAGTGAATAGCCCTCCGCATTCTACCACAGACTGAACTCACCCGGACCAAAACTATGCCGATCCAGTGCACACCCTGTTCCTGTAACCCATTGGCTGTACTGGTAGCCAATCGCCCATGGAAAGTCACTGGGAATGCGATCCTTCCGGCAGAGGCGGTTCCTGGTAAAATTTTGGATCGCAGAGTGTTATAGGTATTCTAGCCATAACTTGTCCCCCATTGGAGAGATTCCCCGCTGACTACGGAGAGAGAAAATGGCACTCGGTCAATTTAACTTGGCCTGCGGTTGAAGCACTTGAATGGGAACAGGAGTTGAAGGCTTCTAGACGGCTCTCCTATATCCTAGCCAAATTATAGTTTTGTTTCTAACTTGTTTAAGAAATTACTCTCAAATGAGAGATACAGGCTCGGGTGCAGTCCTATCCTAGTGGTAAGCGTTACTTACCCTATTTAGTCGAGATCTAACAGTGAAACTACTCGAGTAACGTGCAGCTCAGCTAAATCTTAGTTGGAGTTTATCTGTCGCCAGGAATCATGTTCAATCACTCTTTCTTCTGACTGGGTTGCCACTAACTCATTAAACAACTCTGCGTTCCTCCTCTGATATAGATCGAGTTCATTTAATGCGATATGTGCCCTGGCATTACTCCCACAGACTCACCCCCGACATCTCAAGAGCAACGAAATCTTGGCCCATCCGACTTAATACGAAAAATGGGCCGAATATCGATTCCAACTTATCATCCACAAACCGAGCAGGGATCACAAATGCCCAAATGCAGGGATGGAGGTGTGTGAGGAGAGAGATAACCTGTCTTTACTAGCTACGAAAGAGCTATGTAAAGGGGGAAATATATGACCGCCAAGCTCCACTTGGCCCTGGCCCAATACCCTAACGATCATGAGGATAACCTCCAGTAACCTGCTCCAACACCAAACAGGTGCGAGTTCACCGCGAAAGACCCTCTCATGGGATTTAGCCTTGTAATGAATCCTCCCACTGCCTCGGAGTGAAAGAAAGGTAACCGGGCACCAGTAGTGTTAAGTTTCTAGTACCCTGTTTTCCCTCTCTATTTTCGATGAAAAGTCAAGTCGCAGATGTAGGTTGTCAAGTGAGAGTCGGTGATCCACAGCCAACAACCCCCGGTAGGACAATTTGTGCCGGGGGGGGTTAGCAACAGAAGATTACGGAAGGATACGTGACCAGGTAGGCTCACATACCGGTAGTGTTTGTTCAACAGATAGAAGGAGACCAGCGAATGCCCAGCGCTACCGGGAGTGGGATGAATTACACCAAAAGGGGCTGTTCCGGCTGCTATTAAGGGAACTTGTATTAAAAGAAAACGAATACCACTACCCATTCGCGGGCAAATTTTTTCGTCTTCTTATGGAAGTATTTATACAGTAGAGTAACAAAAAACTCGATCCGTTTGCTACCCCAAACCAAAATCAACCACTTTCGCTCGTAGCCAGATACAGCCCCTGCAAGAAACTTTGGGGGGTTACAAGAATCACGAAAATAGCCGTTTCTTTCCATAATGGATGTGAAAATCCCGTAAATCAATAAATTGGGGTGTTTTGTACTACAGTGGCATGGTAGCGTCTGAAAGTGCCCCGGGACATTGTGGCTAATGGGGTGCCATCCGAGAGGACAGTAACAGCCACCTCTATTTCAGGGTGATGATGGTCTCTCAATTCCATAAACATTCTATCTAATTTCATTCATTGCAAACTGCTCTGCACATGTTTCTCTGGTTTCACCCATAATGGTACCCGGCTTTATTGGGGACTAGGAAATGGAAGATAAAGTGGGTTCGAGCTTTATGTCCTAGGACTCCATTAATCTATGGATTCATCGAGCCCTCCTTCACATCCAATACGGCGCATGATGTTGTGTGCTTTAGGGCCCACCGTTCTGTTTTTATATGAGTCAAGCCAAAGAAGGAAGCCTAGAAATACTTGCTCATCTGGTATCATACTGAGACTATAGTTGGGGATATTGGGACTGTAAGAAACCGAGTGGTTGGCTCCCGCATCAATCCCTACCCACCCACCCTATACACCCTTCTAGCGCAACGCATTTACCCAGAAGTAAAAACAGAGATTGTCGAAGAAATGCATCGAGCCGAGTATGCGCCCTCTCACTTGCTTTCAATTGCCGGCAACGGGAACTCTACCTAGCTGGGCTCATCTGAGCTCCTCCCTGCCGCAACATAGTTGAATACGAAGCTCTCGTGCACGAAGCAGTACTAGAATTGCCTGTAACAAAGCCATCTGTTCACCCCCCTGGCATTACTTACGCCGTTCAAATATTTCTGCTCATCCCACATAAGATAAGCTTTCCCCACTAATCCCCGTGCGTCTCCTTGAGAAACGCATTCACCTAGTAAGTTCTCCCCCCTGTTCCACCGGCAGGCGGTCTGCTTGTCACCGAACGCATTGTACCTTGCACCTGCGCCGGATCCTTGGAACTTTCTCAATACCCCGGGCCCCGGAACACTGTGAGCACCGGAGAGTGGAGAGAGGAAGGAAGGGAACTACTCATTGTATTTCCTGCTACCGTCGCCCATATACAAAGGAAATACATGTGTGACAAGCCTCAGCTTGGAGGTCACCCAAAGCCCTAACCATCATGAGGATAACCCCAGTACAAACTACTAACAAACACTTATAGGAAACCCTGCAGAATATGAATCAGCGACTTTTAGCGGACTCTTTTAGGGGCCCCTTAGTGAATTTACCGGCCGGGAATCCCAATGGGATTGACAATGCCATCTTTCTATGGAGGCTACGGTGGGAGGGGCGCCATATCCCTGCTGGGAACCTCTCTCTATTCAAGAGAGAGGAGAGGAAAAACCAGGAGATGGAACCATGGACCATGTCAGAGGAGAGCTGGAGGAGTATACTAACCGCCCTTCTCGTTTTATATAACCCCGGTCCTCTCTCTCAACTGCCGGTTCACTAAATGGCCGGCCTTCTGTTTTCCCCCGCGGGAGCTACTCTCACGCTTATCGCCTCCGCCGCCAGCGGGCCTGAGCAGACGAACAGACATTGGGACTGCTACCAGCCCGGTTGTGGCTAGAGAGAAAGGATGCCGTCATCCAGCCCGTGGAGACCTACGATGCGAATAACGAAGCACTATTAGACGCGGACACTAGCTCTAGTTGTGGCGGCGGCATAGCATTCTTGTGCGATAAATGGATTCCTTGGGCGGTTTCGGATATCTTAGCTCATGGATGCTATCGACCTTTCTCCCCCCTTTCAAGTCCCTTGACTGGCTAAAGTGGAATCGGTACGCCGCCGTGAGCATTTCTGGCTCCAGTGAGAGTGAGTGGTGATGTGCTTTGAAACGTGAGTTTACGTTCATGCCAGGGTATGTCTCTAGTCTTTCTGTCCATCTACCGCCTACCGAGAAGTGATTGCCAACGGTTATGCAACAAACACCGAGGGCGATCTTGGAAACAACCTCTGGTATCCCAGGTATTCCCTACATCATGCGGATGGACAAAAACCGAAAAAAAAAAACCTAGTCCCCTGCAGTGGCGTTGGCATATCCAATAGGCGAACATAGCAATATAACGAGACTGTAGACTGCCGGGGCGCCTGTTACGGCGGTGTCTCGAGCGGACCTGAATGCGATACCCCTCACGGGGCGGTTCGTCAAAGGTGTTTCTGGATATTTGACGTATTTATCCCTTCATCCTTGACTGCTGGGCGGGAGGGCTGAGGTTGAGTTGTAGTGGTTCCGTGGGCTAATGACACCACAGCTACTTTTCAGAGCTTTACTCTTCCGTCTAAGACTACGGCGAATAAGGGGTGTTTTCGGCAGTGAGTATACTAATAGTCATTCCTGTAAACTAAAAGGCCTTAGATTGAGTTTTCTTCTCTTCTTTTTCTCCCCTTGTGTCCTGCACTGAATACCGTAAGTAAACCCTCCGCCCACCCAACCCCTTCGTTAAAATCCAAAGCGTTTCCGACCCCATCCCGACCGACGGACCCTGGTATCGTAAACCCACCGCGCCGTACCGCACGCTACCGGTAATTTACGTGAACCCACTTTTCAATCCCCATCAGGACAACGGGTGATATACGGTGACCGAGCCTAACACTCTCCAGTGAGACAGACCTCGCGGGACAGTTCAGGATGTACCACCACATTCCCACGCAAAAGCTGATCCACCTCCGGTATTCGATCTAGCCGCCCTTTCAAACCCACCAGAGTGATTGGAACAAGGAACTTGGCCGAAAAGCAGTTAATAGGAAAAAGAAAAAAAAAGAAACAGAAAAAGCGAGACGACCTTCACAAGTTTCTCGCCCACTTTATCACTCCAACGGCGCACCGATCAATTCCCCACCGGACAAGATATCACCCATATCTATCACGGACGAACGGTGGTCGTCCAGCGCCGTCTATCCATCTGTACAGGACTAAACCATGACACTGCACGGTGCACCAACGGAAGGGAGCAATTCCCCTATTTCAGCTCCCTCAATAACGTATTATTATACCGGACACCCGTTTTGCGCATCCTCCGGAAAAAAAAAAAAAAAAACTCGCCAGAGGGAACTATTAACTTGGCTTCTTGTGATCACTTTGGCCAGAATGGAACATCCCCCCACCCCTCCACTTCAGAAACCGATTTACTTTGGGTATCATAGGTTACGGTGCGGTTACATACACGCAGGGGATTCAACGTGGAGCGATAGCCTCTCCTCCCCACGAACTGGAGTATCGGGAACCGGAGTGGACGGCTGCTGGACGTTCTGCAATTGAGCCCGAATTTTAGGTGTGGGCACTGAGCGGATGCGGTGGATATTGGGGTAAGCTGACGCGCTTCGCTGGTGTGGTGTCGGGACATTGTTCTTGAATCCCGATGTGAACTTTTTCTAATGCGAACTGACACGTTTCTTGTTCCTGGTGTGGATCCGGCTCGTAATCTGTGGTGTAGTACCGCTGTGCGAAACCACAAGTCACAGTCAGTTGTTGCCGCGCCGTCGCTGAGATGGAACAAATTATCAAAGGGCTCAATGCTTCTCACTCGTATACAAAAGGGAGCAGTTGCTCTCAAGGGATCCGTATCCCGTTAAAATTTCTTGCTTGGGTAGTGCTGGCATTACTGAGCCGCTAATCCTTAAAGGTGGCTGTTTTTGGTGTAAAAGAGCTAGTGGCCCGAGTTATGTCACCCTACTGTACTATTATCAGATTCTTACAACTCTCTTTCGAAGGGAAGAAAACGAAATCTAGATCTATGATTGGCAGAAGTAACAGGAGAAAGGGAGAGAAAAGAAGACTCCAATGAGCCGAAACAAGCTACCAATAACCTTGGTAATAATCAACCCCCCCGTGAATTCCCGTCTCATCCGACCCCCTCCATCCTGAACAGCCACGCTTCCCATAAAGAATCAACCCCACCCCCAAACCACAATCCCCTAAACACCAACCCTCACATCCCACCCCCCCACCCCGCCCCTCCCGGTCACAGCATTCGCCCCAGCAGTCTTAACAACCCCCACACTTCCGGTAAGCGTTCCCAAGCCTACAGCGCCTGTGCTGGGTGTACGTAACTCGCTCTAGCAGCTTGCGAATTCCTGGGCGTATATCGAGACAACCTTTGCAGCGAGGCCGTTGGGGGGGTTGATGGTATCCCAGCGACAATTAGCACTGCCGGGGGGGTTACCATATTTTGGTAGGCTCGGTAGGAGCGTTTGTAGGCGTTTTTGTCGTTTGGATCACTTGCATGCGCCACCGAAGCCCTAAGCCTGCGTCAGGGGTAACAGGAATAACGTTAACGGGGTCGCCAGAGCGCGGAATTGCATTTCGTGCTAGTGTTTGTACCCGTGTGCAATCGGCCCGCGCGGGAGAGGGAGAGAGAGTTTGAGAGTTCGTTCGCAGATCAGGTAGTGAATGAATGAACGAATGAACGGCGGTTGGAATATCTGGTTAGGGTGGCTGACCCCCGGAGAGGAAGACAGGCTCACACCCTCTGAAGATCGAGATCACGGACGGTGCCGCGGTTTCGAGAGTCGCGTTTCTGGTTGATTATGTATACCGGTAGGTGGAGTGGAAGCACTGGAAGCTGGGTGCAACAGTGTGATGTAGTATGTTTCGCTTGTGTTGTCACGGGGGGCTCGATGTTGAGTGCAGTAAGTTCAGTGGTTCGCTAGCATGTTCGGGCACTCCACCACAGTCTGTTGCCAGCGGTGAATGATCCAGCAGTGAGAGTCCATGATCGCCAAGAGTCTATTACGCACTCAACCCTACCGTTTCCCTTCCCCTGCGGCAGGGAAGACGGCTGTACGAGTACTAGTACGGGAAGCTTGGGATGGACTCTCGGATGCTATCGCCGGCCATGGGCTTAAGCTTAGGGGGCCGCCACCGTGAGGCCAGTCAGCCGATTCCCCCGGGTGAGCGGTATCGGACGGTGCGGGTGGAGCAGTCTACGGATGGCTCGGGGCACGGGCGAGGATGGTCTGCAGAGGCGGTGGCCTCATGGTGGCTTGCTGGTACCGGTAGTCTAATTGGGGAAAGTTGGGTTGGATCACCAGGGTCTTGGCCCAGCGTTGAGTCGGGGCTCAATACCGGTACCGGTATGCCACTGCTTAGGGATCGTCGGTGGCATCCATGGAAGAGTGGTCATCACCTGGATTAACTTGCGAATGCCGTACGGTACGGGTGAGTGGGTGGTTGAGCTGGTGAATGCTTGGGAGGGTTGTGCTCGATGTCGATGTAGACTACGAGTAGGATGGGGCACAAGGCGGTGCCATACAAGTACTAGGCGGTGAGAGTAGGTAAGCACCCGATCCGGCGAGATACGGTGGGCCGAGTCGAGCATTGCAGCTCTCTTCCTCCGCAATGCGATATGAGATATGATACGGTATGTGGCGGAGCAAGGCTCTCACCCGCCACAGAGGAACAGCTCGAACGCTCCGTTATGAGAGCTCGCTTGGCAAGCCTCGGCCGTTACAGCCACCGTTGCAACTCGCAAGTACTCGTACTCGAGTATGGTAGCGAAGCCTTCAAGCCCATTCACCTCCTACCCGCGTCCCGCACGGCACGAGTAACGCCAAGAAAAACTCTGGATCGAGAAGGGAGGGCCCGCCAGGTTCTTGCCATACGGCATTTGTGCTTTGGCTTACCGTACCTTTCTCTCCCTTCCCCTTGAACGCTGTATATGCGAGTTATGCTCAGTGCTCAGTGAGGGACTGCACGGTTGGTCTATGGGGCGCATCGGAGACCTTCGTGTGCGGATGCCATTCATCGGCGCGGCCCCCTGCCTTCGCACGAGCCGTGAACGCGATGGGGTACAGAGTGGGTAGTAAACTCGGTTCCTGAGGAGGACTGTGCAGTGTTCTCGCCCTAAGCGTCAAGTTGCTGTACGGTGCGATTCTACTGTGCCGCGCATCGCGATACAGTACTACCCGGCGGGACAATGGAGTGGAAGGCCATTCGATCGAAACGGCACTGTACGAGTACTAGTACCGTAGACAACCGGTAGCAGCACCCTTCTTTGCGGCAGAGCTACGAATTACCCTACGAGCACCGGTACTCGTACAGTTCATTGGCATTGGCACTGGCGGAAAGCACACAGTCTCGACGCGATAATTTTTCTTACACTGATCCTTCCCCCCTCTCTCGACGCCATCGCGGAATCCGAACATGATGGCCGTTTATTTTGGGGGGACATTACGCGTCTTTTATTGCCAAGTTTTGGATATGATAGGCTATTTCTTTCGCTCGTATGTGTGATAGCGGTGTGTGCATGCTCTTCTGGAGCCGGACCCGACCAAGTTTCCTTGTTGGGCTGGGGTTGCCTCTGGCTCGACGGGTAGTTGAGGGCCATCACGAGGCACACTGTGCTCAATATAAAAAAGCATGACATGATGATGGGGACAGGACGTGAGGAGCCAAGTTACCCGTACGAGCAGACTAGAGCACGGTCAAGCTAGATTAACAGCGCGCAGAAGTATGATAGCGATTTCTCAATCCCCCCCCTTTCCAAGGGATTCGAGGAGGAGCCGGCAGGGCAGTCTAATGAGGAACCTTCAATGGAAATTTGCAAATAGATGCATGATCGAGCAGGAGGAGGAGGAGGAGTTCAGCCAGGCATGACGTAACTTACTCCTGATGACGAACCTACCCTGCACCAGCCACACTGCACCGAGATAACCGGGCTTGAAGTTCGGTGGCGGGTGGGTGCAGGTATGACGTTTGGTCTCGAGAGGTTCTTTTTTTTTTCTTTTTTCTTTTCTGTGCGTGCCCACCCTTTTTCCTTCCCTTTCCCTTTTCCCTTGAACAACTGCAAATAAAGACCCGGGTGTCCCCTCCCCCCCCTTCCTTTCTCCCCATTCGTTTCAGGAATACAGGACAACCTTGCTCCTTGAACAGACTTGACCTTTTATCGAGGCTAGCATCGACCGCCTGAGCTCACGAGGTACTGCCAACCGCAATCTCGATCACAACAAACATCATGCCTCTCACCGCCAGGTTGGTTTCCCTCTGCTTACGGGAGGGGAGCTTTGGGGGTTTGGGGAGGGGGGAGGGAAGGAAAACAAAGAACGGGATGCTGACTATTTCTTTAGTGATTTTTGCAAGATCATTCTCGCTATCCTCCTTCCTCCCCTTGGCGTTTTTCTCGAGAGGGGATGCAGCGGTGACCTGTTGATCAATATTATTTTCACCTGCTTGGGTTACTTGCCCGGAATTATTCACGCCCTGTGAGTTTTTCCTTCTCCTTTAGGGCCCTTTTGGGATGTCGTGGCTGCTAATTCGTGTCTACCAGATACATTATATTTAAATACTAGAGAGGCTCAAGAAACCCGCAATCCTTATTTCGCCTGGCACAAACAGCGTCGGTTAGTGGAGGAGAGATGATAATTCTTAAATCGATACGGCCTGGGAGGGCGGCTATAGTTTGTCGATCAGTCTTTACATATGGGTGTTTGGGGCCAATAATGTCGGGCTTTCGCTGTTTTTATCTTTTTTCCTTTCCTTCCTTTCTTTTGTAGTTGCGCGCATGGGTCTTTTTTTCGGCTTGGTTCACTATTCATTCCCCCCTCTTTTCTTTCTCTTCCTTTTGTTGTACGACTACAATATCATGATAGTGATAACTTGAGATTTGAAAATATTTCTCCCGAGGTGATGAACTTGTGCACTTTCGGAACGGTGTTATGAGTTGGTTGGGATATCGGGAGCTGAGATGATGTGGCTTGCTACCTTGGGGGGGGGCATGCACGCGGGGTTTAGGTTTCGGTGAGCACAGGGAGGGCATGGGAAAAAGTACGGTGGATCTTGCGGTGCTCAAGTTTACACTCGCTTGCGTTTCCTGCTCCACGATCAACACCTGCTTTAACGGAGAGTGAGAAGGTGACAAGTTCAGCAGCTTATATCTAGAGGTGTTTTGATACCTTCGCTTTCTGATCCCCTCTTTCCCGCTCCTTGCCCTATCGTACCTCACCTTCCCGCATTGAGTTCCTTCACTTCCAATCTCTCCGCGCGATAGCTTGCGATATCCACGGCTGGCAGCGCGTGGTCAGCCGCAAGGCCCGGTTGCTTCCAGCTTATCTTATCAGGATAAGGGCAGGCCAAGCCACTCACAGATCTCCACGCCAATCATTCTCCTTTCTCTTCCTCCTCTCTCACACCTATCCAATCCACCGACCGGTCCAGCCAATTCAATTTCCCCACCTACACCACGCTGCACCCCAACGATGCTCCTCTCAACCAACCCATTACCCGCGGAACTGGTTCGCGTCCTGACAATCTTCAACGACCAGTTTCAGAAGACCGCGAACGCCTTCCTCAGCATTCCCACCGTTCGGGAAAATGCCTTCACGCGCGTCTGCGAGCTCCACAACACCCTGGAAATCCTCTCCACCATCCCTGAGCCTATCGGCGCCCTCATGCAATTCCTCGGGACTAGGATTGCCGGCGGCCACGACTTTGCTCGCCAGAGCGCTCGGGAATACCTTGGTTTCATGCTAAACGCGGAATTTATCCTGTTTGAGGCGTACCGGATCTACGGGCTGCGCATGAATCCGTCGCTCGCGCACTGGGTGGATGTTTGTCGGGGGTATGAAGCGGCGGATAAGCAGAGGCAGCAACAGCGGGGCGGTGATCGGGGTGTGGGACTGGGCGTTCACGAGGAGGTGCTCAGAATCCGGGTCGCCTTCGTCAAGGGTATTCTAGGCGAGCATGGGGACAGGCTGGCGGGACTCTCGCCGCTTGAGTTTGCTGGTCGGGGGTTGGAGTTTGTGGTTGATGTAGAGTCTTTTACGGAGGCTCTGCGTGAGCAGGGGATTTACGATGTGTCGATGGAGGGGAAGAGCCTTAGGGGAGGTGACGGAGTCGCCAAAAAAGGGCACAGGAGGGAATTGGGCACTGATGAGGTAGGAGCGAGTGTTGGCGGGAGCGGATGTTCATCTGCTAGTGGGCTCACCTCTGGCGCGCAAACACCGTCGAACGGACGCCCTTCGCCTCTGGCCCAAGACACAGCGGCGGAAATCTCGACCTTCCTGGTCAAAGCCATGTCCGAAGAGCTACGCCCGAACGTGGTGAATTCGCTGCTCGCGACTCTAAAAGCTACACCGTCTCTCCTAACTGCATACCCGTTGGACTTTCTCTCAACTCCTACCCTCGCTAGTCTAATATCTAACAATCCGGTCCTGGCCCGGGGAATCCTCCTCCTCCTCCTCTCCTCGCCCATTACCACCACCGCCACAAATACCACACCTACCCCGCCATCGCCACCCTCCACCTCCCATCGCCGCCAGGAAATCCTCTCAAGCCTCTCATTCCTGACCCCCACCCTCAATGCCCTGGAAACCATAAATATCCTAATTACCCAAACCTCGGCCCTCACAAAAGACGAGGCGAACCTGCTGATACACAGCTTCCTGTCAAACGGGACGCGTTCGGCGGAGGAAATGCTTGATGGTGAATACCGCGATGGCGGCAGCGGGAAGAGGGCGCAGGCGCGACAGGTGCAACTGTTGTGTCTGTTCGTGCAGAGCCTGCTGCGCGCGGGTGTCATTTCCTTGCGGGACGTGTACTATGAGGTCCAGATGCTGGGCGTTACGTTCATGTATGTCAAGGAGGCGAGGGAGCTGTGGAAAGCTGTCTGTGGGTGAGCGAGAGGAGTAGTACCTTTTATGCCGATACGATGGATTGGGGTAGGGTTCGCTTTGTTCCGCTGTGATTTGTTTTTGCTTTTGTTTGCTCTTCTGCATTGGATGGGATGGGATCTTGCATTTTCTGGTTCGCTGGAGGTTTGACTGGGATTTGCTTTACTTTGTATGAGGGACCTGGCCGGCGTTGTGATATTTCACTTTAATTTGCTCTGCCTTTGTATTTTATTTGACCCTCCTTCCTCTCCATTTCTGTACTAATGCTCTCAGCTTTATGTATTTGTGCATGTACGTAATGTCTCGCAGCCCTCCTCCCCCCCCTTTCTTCCCTTGCGCGTTTTCAGTTTTGCCACGGTCCTCTGGCAAGGTACGATGTTCGCCAAGCCGATCAGGCAGACGGGCCAGCACCGTTCTCATGCCTGCCTAGTATCGCTCGCGATAGCGCATGGAAGCATGGAGGGCCGTATGCTACCACAGCCCGTTATAGAAAGAAAGGAAAAAGAAAAGAAAAAAGACCGGTTAGCTAGCTAGCGGCGAATATAGTACTCACCCAAGCTCTCAGCCGCGACCCACTAGGCCACCACCGAGTGATAATCAGTGAACACGCCTGATACCCCCCCCTTAGCAACCCGTGTTTACTCCGGACGGCTCGTTCCACCCTCTCCACCACGCAGGCTTGAAACCTCCGCTCGTGCCACTACTAGATTGACTGGATGGATGAGCGGTCGAGTACTCTGTGGTGATGTAGGAAGAATACGGACAATAGACCAAGTAAGTGGAGTCGCTTGTGCGGACGCGGTGGCTTTTAATGGGCTTCTAATTTTAATTTTTTTTGGTAATATTTTTTGAGTGGGGTACCCGAGTATTATAGTGTGGCAAATGGCTTTCGGGAAGATTGGATTTATATAATAATATTATAATGTTCTGTTCTGTTCTGTTCTGTTGTGGTGTCATGCGGGCGTTTGGTGGAGCACGTGTCATACTTGTAGTACTGTGGTACCGGCACGATGTGGTGAACTTCATAGACTAGAAGTTCCTCCGTTACCGAAAATTTGACCGTTTTCATTATTTTTATTTGAATGCTCTTTTTTTGGAGTTTGGCACGGTATGATCCTGCTCCACAGTTGGTGTTCGGGGTATGTAGAATTGTTTGTTGAAAATGTACGGTCCGATTCCTGGTGGCTAGATCATGATCGGGTGCAAAGTATCTCTGTATGATTGAAGGCACTCGATGTTGGAGTTTGGAGCTCTTTTTATGTCAGCTCTCTACCGCTCTACCCGTTCGCTGATAGCAGCAATTTGGTGTGTCCTCATGCCTTGAAAAATGGAATATGTTTAAAATCCCCTGAGACGTCCAGGGTGGTTGCGCGGTTGGACCTGAATGTCAACCCGGTCATCAACTGACCATCCGCTCGGCTTGGATTCCGTCTCTTGCTGCGCCGCTAAGCGTGGTTTTCTGCCTCTGCTATTGCGGCGTTGTGTGGTTCTGTTGGAATGTAGGAAAGAAGTTGTGGTACGGTGGGGGGCGGTTGGGTTACTGGTTTTGTGCCCGTGTGATATCATACCTACCTACGGGGTATGATACCTCTGTGGAAGAAGAGGCGGGGATAACGATAATTCTAGTTGAGAGCTAGCAATTGTTGGTTGTTCTAAAGGGATCGAGTTGTAGAGGGTTGATGGGAGGGTGTCCAATCGGGGAGGCCAGTGGTATATTATATGATATTAAATTGGTCGTGGTATGATGTGTATGGTAGATCTGGACGTAAATGGGAAGATCGAGTGACTGAGTTTTAGGCAGGGCTTGGAATAACCTGTGAAGTACAAGGTGCAGTTTAGGTAGTTTGGTCGTGGTGGCTTCACCCCGTAAAAAAAACTCGAACAATTTAAGGAAGGTCGGTAGAGGGCGCTGCAAAACATAATCGCTTTCCCTCTTCCGGGACAGGCAGAAGAAGAAAAATGGCCAGATCTGCATTTGTAGCGATTGGAGGAAGGGTTTAGTACATTTTCCCAAAATCTCTTGAACCACCTTCTATAGGGCAAAGACATTCATGTCAGGAATTTCACTTGGCTTTTAGGATCATGTCCCACTTGAGCCAGTGGTATGTCCATCTGAACATGGACATATGGCACATGCTAGTTGTTGGGGGCACTGTATATTGTCACACTGGCAGCACGGCACTCGTGCGGCTACTGTGGGACATGGTGGTGATCTGTGGGCACATTGCGACAGAATGCATTAACAGCTTATATGATACTGCCAATGGGTCTCTATATGCCGGTAAACCGCCTTGTCTAAGGGACCTTCCCACTTTCCCTTCTTGCCTATATTCATCATTTAACACTCAATATCTCTCAGTATATAGGAATGCCGTAAGGGGGTTATTCGAGCCTTCTTCCCTACAATTGGGTAGCGTTCAATCATTTGATTCTCACACTATCATCCAACCTAGCATACCGGTATGTCATTCTTGTTTAGCGGGAGGAAGCACTTGATTGCCAACAGCGGACTGCGCTGTGAGAACTAGAGCAATTGAACATTACCCTAAGACTTCCAGAATTCCCCACTTTGGATTATGGGAGGGAGCCGGAATCACTGAGAAAAAGAACTGACTCTCAGCACTCTGCTGAGATAAATAGAAAGAAAAAGGTATGATGGGAAGGCTGAATTCTGTATCTTGCGGGGTAACCCCGGTGCCCTACTTGTAGCACAAAGTTCGGGACCCCATATTGGGGCAATATGCCAAGAGGCACTTCCCGTTTGGTGAAGGGCTGGCCTCACGGCTCAGCCCAGACCTGATCGCTGGCAAAGTGGATCTTGAACCCTCTTCGCCATCTCTGGAATCACTGTACGCTCTACACGAACTCCGACGCTTACAGTTATATGTGAAATATCCTGGATCTTTTCCATACCGCACTATAGGTTTGACTCTTCCTATCAACTTATATCCCACTCATACCTGACGTTGGAAGCTGATGAGTTGCAGCC